GCAGTTGCGGCTCTTCCGGACGCGCAGGAGATGCTTGGGGAGGTTTATGATCAGGAAGATCTTGAACCTCCTCAGCCATCCTACCCCGTGTATGCTGAGCTGGTGGAGGTTATGGAGCGCGCTGCTGGCAGGCTGCGGTTGCCTTGGCAGCGGGCTAGAGGAGGGACCGCTCGCGGAAGGCTCGATGATCGGTTTCTCCCCGGCCGTACACCACCAGCTCGGGTGAGCCTTCCATTCCTTCCTGATCTGCACATGGAGATCGAGAAGGCATGGAAGAACCCATACTCTGCCCGTATTCACCAACATCAGCGGGCCAGTTTCGCTGATGTTGAGGGGATCGGAGAGCATGGGTACGTGTCAATGCCGCCCATTGACGAGACGTTTGCGAACTATCTCGTGTCTGGGCGTGCAGCGACACTGAAAGCTCCAACCCTGCCATCCAAGCCGCTGAAAATATCGGCTCGTTTGAATGGCAGAGCATACACGGCAGCAGGTCAGGCCGGTGCTGCACTCCATACCATGGCAGTGTTGCAGGCGTACCAGGCCGACCTGCTGGAGGATCTCGACCAGGGGGCAGGGATGTCCCCTGAGGCGGTGGCTGAGCTGCGCCGCACCACAGATCTGGCTCTCCGGGCTACCAAGCAAACCGCTGCCGCGATCGGTCGGTCGGTCGATGGCGGCGATGGTGGCCACGGAGAGGCATCTGTGGTTAAACCTAGCTGACATCGGGGAGAAAGAAAAGACCTTTCTCCTCGATTCGCCAGTTTCGCCTTCCGAACTCTTTGGCACCTCTGTAGAAGAGGTGGTGGGGAAGTTCAGGGAGGCGAAGGCGCGCTCAGCAGCATTTAGGACATGTATACCGCTGAGATCCGCGTCCGCACCCAGGCAGGCGGGAGAGCCTGGCCCTTCACGGTCTGAGGACCGTAGGCAGGGCCAGCGAGCCAGTGTCGCCTCTCGTGCGCCCCCTCCCTCGAGGAGCAGGTCGCAGAGGAGGCGTGACTCCCGCAACAGAAGAGATTTGAGGGAGGTTATCCAGAACAAACGCTCACAGCGTCGGTAGTGGATAACCTCCCCGGAGGGTCACGAAATCTGCCCTCTCTCTTCTGACCCCCAGGCGCTCATTACATCAGGCCTGGGGATGGGCCTATGATGAGAACTATGTTCTGATGGCCCACCTGGGCCTGGTTGGTGGAAACGCTCCTTTCAGGCATGTAAAGTGGCGGTTCCCAGGTTCATAAAGAACTGTCTGGCGAATCTTCGCCTTGCACGCCGCAGGTGAGCTGCTGGTCTTCTCAAAGAGTATTTTTTGTGATTAAAAAATAACATATTTCTCTTTACAGACCTCGTTCCCTGTATAGAGTTATGGGGCCATGTCAAGGTAATAAGGTAAGATAACTTTATTGGATTATCAGGGCCCTGAAGTTCCCCGGTAGGTGGCCAGAATGATAACTATGTTAGCCTTCGGGCTGTTAGCCACCTCAGGGTAGAGTAGTTGGTCTCTCTCTTAAAAATTTGTATTTAGAGTGTTGACTGATGCTAGAGCTTCAGATAGATCTTAAGTCCGGCCCACGGGACCGTTTGACTTTCCTGAGTATTTCGCCCTTTGAGCTCTGTTTGGGTTTCATTAGGCTGAGCGATTCTGCAGCCTTTTGTATCGAATAATACAGATTTTATTCCTTATTAGGCTGTGGCTCCTCTGAGCCCTCAGATAGATCTATGCTTACAGGTTGGCCCTCACCAGGGCCGCCTCTGTAGCTGGCTTAGGCTGTGCCAGGGATATTAGAGGCGTTCTGCTAAAATTAGCATTTCTTCCTCTGACCCTTCACTTTGTGAATGTAGGTTTTTGGCATCCCTGTATAATCAGCCTCCTCCCATGGGAGTCGTTAGGCCAAGGCCCGCCCCCTTCTCTGCATTCCGGGGTGACTAGAGTAATGCAGCGTGGTGCAGAGGATGGTTTATAAGGACATGGTAGGCCTCAGTTAGGCCTCCATGGTATATAAGTCCTTTTGAGCAGGGTTAGGCCGTCTTTCGCTTCACGAAGAAGACTGAGTCTCCTGCCCGACCCTGCCGTGCAGAACTGGCCTACGGATTTAGGCCGCCAGTATGGGCTTCACTTACTTCGCTGAGCTACTGCTCGAGCGCCGGGTTGTAGGTGGTTGGCTTTCATTCAAGCCCCACTCCCCTAGGTTGGGCACAGATACATTTCTGTCACCCCTAGAGCCGCTGGCAGGCCCGCCCCCTGGTAACCTCAGGGTGAGGTGTGAGTATTCCCCTGTGATTCAGGGTAGGTCTGAGTACTTCACTCCCAGTTCTGTTTATCCTACCTCGCACCACTATGGCTCGGGTCGAGTATGAGGTAAGCCTTCACTTCTTCTTTGGTCGAAGTATGCTCCCCTGTAGCCAGAGCATTGCCCTGAGCTGACGCCCATGCATAGATGGTAGGCCCCTGACTAGCTGGGGCCTCCGTTGAGGCAGAGTGGCGTATGTTGTACTCCCCTTGTTTTTAAGCTCTCTTGCTGAGCTCTCTTGCTGAGTACACTGCCGTGGGCAATGTGATTAGGCACCAGGATGCTGTAGGCGCTGTGTAAACAGCTTATCTGCCAACGAAAGCTAGTAGGCCCAACCGGGCCTCCCTGATAGGCGAGTCCCCAGCTGGTTGGCCTTAGCAGGCCGCCTTGGAACTGTCACCCGAACTCAGCTACCAGTTGCTATCAGGTAGTAGGCCACTCAGGCCTCCCTGAAGGTGATTTCCCATTTAAGATGGTTATCAGGTAGTAGGCCTCACCAGGCCTCCCTGGAGACAAGCCCAAGGTCAGATAACTGAACAGCTAGCCTGACTTTCTATCGGGTAGCAGAAAATGCTCCCAGATATTATGGCTGTCAGGTAGTAGGCCTCACCAGGCCTCCCTGAGGGTGAGTTCCCACATGCTGTGATTATCAGGTAGTAGGCTCCTCCAGGCCTCCTTGAATGAGAACGGTCAGGTAGTAGGCCTCACCAGGCCTCTCTGACGGTGAGTTTCCACAGGTTGTGGTTATCAGGTAGTAGGCTCCCCCAGGCCTCCCTGAGTGAGTACGGTCAGGTAGTAGGCCTCACCAGGCCTCCCTGAGGGTCCCCACATACTGTGGTTATCAGGTTGTAGGAGGGTTCAGGAAGCTAGTGGCCTCTTGCTATCATTTCAGCTGGCCTTATCAGGCAGCTGCTGAAGGCGAGCTTGCGCCCTGGCTCGACTAAAGTGTTCATTCTCTGCTACTGGTTCCCTCTCGGAACCTCTTTCCTGCCTACAGCCTGGTTTTGCCTACCAGGGGGACCATATGCTCCCCTCATTGAGGGTCACTGTGAGCACGCGGACTCCTGAGTCTGGTCAGACGGTCGTAGGCCTCTCGTGAGGCCTCCCAGTTAGATCAGCCCTTAGGCCTTCACAGGCCTCCTCAGTGTTTGTAACACAAGCACTGGGTAGATCCATGGATCGAGTAGAGAAACTCCCCTCGCTGGTAGAAAGCACTTGCTGAGTCATACTCTCCGGGATATCCCGTCTCTGAGATCCGGGCCGAGTGGTTCACTGCCAGCTTCGCAGTCCCTCGGGTTGGATGCCTTACTTAAGGCAAGTGTCCAGAGGCTCTGTCTTCAGACAGACAGGAAGTGGCCAGACTAAGTGTCTATGCTCTGACGCCAGGTCAGGCCGTCCTGGTGGCACTTCGGGGTGAGTACGTTCCCCTGAATAGTGACTGGCTGGGGTTCCTTCGGGTTCCCTAGCCACATTCCCTAGAAGGGACCCCTTCTAATTGAAGTTGTGGTCCTAGGCCTTTGAGCAGGCCCAGGTAACATTTTCATTTAACCATGTTTATGGAGGTTTTCCTGTGAGGCTTATAGCTTAGGCTATGACCGTAGGGAATGCTGTCACTGACAGCCTAGTGTGACCTGACGGTGAGTGGTTCTAGCGTTTCATTTGAAATTGCTGGTTCTGACAGTTGTCACTGCCTTTGGGCATGCACTCCCCTCAGCATGGCGGAGTGGGTATTTCGTTCCCCATAACGTCGATGACGTATTGTTGAGTTCCCTTCGAAAGGGAACGTCTCAGGTTACGAATGTAACCTCTGTTCCCTGAGAACAGGGAAACGAGACAATACGTCTCCCTGCCATGCCTCGGGGCTTGCCTACCGTACAGTCCCTTCAGACGATAAGGTGATTTGTCATGTTTGCAAGGCGCCCTTATATACTTCCAGGTCGCACGTTAATCATTCACGTTAATGATTCACGGGCTGTCGCCGGTCAATGTGATTGACGTGATTTGATAGTGATTTCAGACACCTGTCACGCCTGAGGCGTTCCCCATAACGTCGATGACGTATTGTCTCGTTCCCTGTTCTCAGGGAACAGAGGTTACATTCGTAACCTGAGACGTTTTTGCTCACCCTCAAAAAGTGACAATTTTAACATGCTGTAAAAATATCTGTGGTATTTTGAGCTAAAACTTCGCATACACACTTATTTTTACTTATTTTACATCTTGTGAAAAGGGCATTATAGGACCTCTTTAGTCTTTAATGGTTATGGTTAATAATAACAAAACATCACATATATTTTTGTTTGCTGGTTACAGCCTTTCAGCAAACATATGGCAAAATCAAGTGTGGAATCTCCTCAAAACCAGTTCAAACACAATAAACACCTCTTATATAGACCCGGATTGCAGACCATGATTAGCCAGCTATATATATGCATTTTTATGCAATTTTTAACCATGCAGCTCTAGCTATAACACACCTTTTCTTACTTGTTTACTATATGAGAATGAGACTCACTATTATGGCATGTCAGTGTAAAGCTTTAAAGGTGCACATTGTAATATTTATGTTGCACTGGCCGATATGGTCATCTAAATAACATTCACAAATCCCAACTGGACACAAGACCTGCAATAACTATAAGACTTTGATCAGGTTTGAATGTGAACTAGCATAAATGAGATTTGAGACATACAGGAGACATACAACATTCCGACACTTATTAATGTTTCCTTTTTATTTTGGAGTGAAATATGACATGGACACTTTCTTGACAGGCTTTGTGAGCTTCACACACACAGATCTGTAAGGTGTTGAGGTAGAAGGCTGTTATGAACAAGTGTCAGAGTTTTGAATTTGATGACTTGAACTAAGCTCTACATGTCCAAAAGTGAGCAACCTTGGTTTAAGCCAACTATATTGTTAATTTCTTGCTTTATTTCGTGGTTAATTTCACACATACACAAAATTACAGAAAAAGTAAATACTACAACAACAAAAATATATGATATTATAAACAATACTTCTGCTATACATTTTCACTTTTTCTCTAAAAGATTATTAAATTTCTTTACCCATCTGCAAGTTAAATATTTTGCTATAACGTTATAATATATAATTTGACTTTTTTTTCATAGAGCATAAACCATTCCTTATATGGTTTATTGTAAGAGAGTACTGGTTAACCTAACACGTCTCATTGTGCAGAGCATTGGATCTAACCTTGTTGCAAGTGGAACATGTGTGATAATATTGTCATCAGAGAGACCCTGACCTTCATTTGCAGTTTGTCTGTCTACATACAGGGGGCAGTAGTACAGGGATGAGGAATTACAGCGTGAGCTTTTAGAAGAACAGATCCTGTCACGTTTGCTCTCTACAACACTGACCCAGAGGGGTGGGAAAGGTGAAAGTTGAGGGGACTGAGTGTCTGTAAGAACTCCAGAACCTGGATCCCATAGCGCCCCCTGGAGCTCCAGTCCAGACAGACATATAGCACTTGGGGGTGGAGAAGATGGTGATACCGTATCATGTAGCACCTGTGTGAAAAAAGGAGAAACAAGCTAGGTAAATCATATAGCTCTTTCCATGAATACAGTATACTTTGGTGTACTTAGAGGCAAAGTTCCATGTTTGTTTGTTTTTTAGTCTTGAAAGAACTACAATCACCCGCTAGCCTGGGAAAACCCAGACAACTTCCGGCAAATTTAGATTTGCTCTGAAAGTCAGTCTGGCAAAGAGCTCATTCAAGCCCATTTCCAATCCGTCGAAATCGCGGCACCAATCAGAAACGTTGGGGGGGGGCTTTACACGATGACGACAGCGCTGGGATTTTGAAGCAGATTTTGTAGCCTACATTACAAAGATGGATGCCGCCGTCGAACATCACTCGTTCGAATCAGCTATCGCGTCTGTTTTAAGCGATTTTAACGTTTCCTTTTTTTTTTTAAACGGGCAAAGAACAACACTCTGAGATGTTTCTCCGCCGCTCTGCATACGTCATCTCCTTCATCGCTCTGATTGGTTTTAGGTCTATCCGCGACGTCCGTTGGTAACGCGCCTCTGGAAATGATTTGGCTATGACGCTTTGCCAGACCATAACTCAGTTACAACTGAGAATGGTCTGGTTTTAACCAGGCTAATCACCCGCCACTTTATTAGGTACAATTGTTCAACTGCTCGTAAACGCAAATATCTAATCAGTTAATCACATGGCAGCAATTCAATGCATCATCAGATTAGTTATGTAGGCATGGTCAAGACGATCTGCTGAAGTTCTAACTGAGCATCAGAATGGGGAAGAAAGGTGGTTTATGCTGCCTTCACGTGCAATCGAAACTTCCTACTTCCCACTTCTGAATTTATGGGTTCAAGTTCAAGAGCTGGGATTGTTGTCGGAAAGAACAGGGATCATGGAGGACACCAGGTTTATTCTTGCCTATTTATTGGGAAAATCTTATTAAAGCCAAAATTATATTTAGTGTTCCATTCATTGACAACCATATATATATTCCGGTCAAATACATGCTATTTTCACTGTGTATTAAACATACAATACACTTCATATGATTATTCATTGTAAATATGCACTACTTTAACGACAAAACCAGGGAATAGCTGTTGTGGATCATTGTCCCCTCCGTCAACTTGGGAACTTTGGTATCAAAATTATCCCAGAGGTTCCCAATGGTAAATACAACTTGAGAGGGCATTAATTTCCACATTTTCACTATGAAATTCATATTTAAGATAATTCTGATTGCACGTGAAGGCAGCAGTGAATGACTTTAAATGTGTCATGGTTGTTGGTGGGTCTGAGTTTCAGAAACTGCTGATCTACTGGGATTTTCACGCACAACCATCTTCTATAGGGTTTACAGAGAATGGCCAGAGTTCAGAGAAGAATGACCAGACTGGTTTGAGCTGATAGAGAGGCAACAGTAACTCAAATAAACACTTGTTACAACTTTGGTCTGCAGAAGAGCATCTCTGAATGCATAACATGTCATACTTTGACGCAGATGACTTACAGCAACAGAAGACACACCTGTCAGCTAAGAACAGGACACTGAGGCTACAAGCACTGGCTCAGCAAAGTTGGACAGTAGAAGATTGGAAAAATGTTGCCTGATCAGTCTAGATTTCTGCTGCAACTCCAATGGCAGGGTCAGAATTTGGCATAAATAACATGAACGCATGGATCCATCCTGCCTTGTATCATTGGTTCAGGCTCCTGGTGATGGTGTAATGGTGTGGGGGATATTTTCTTGGCACACTTTGGGCCCCTTTGTACCAATTGAACATTGTTTTAATGCCACAACCTATCTGAGTATTGTTGCTGACCATGTCCAGCCCTTTATGACCACACTGTACCATCTTCTGATGGCTACTTCCAATAGGATAACGTGACATGTCACAAAGCTCAAATCATGGTGGTCATCAACTGGTTTCTTGAACATGATGAATTCACTAAACTCAAATGGCTTCCACAGTCACCAGATCTCAATCCAATAGAGCACCTTTGGAATGTGGTGAAACGGGAGATTTGCATCATGGATGTAGAGCCGACAAATCTGCAGTAACTATGTGATGCGATCATGTCAATATGGACCAAAATCTCTAAGGAATTTTTCCAGCATCTTGCTGAATCTATGGCATGAAGAATTAACGCAGTTCTGAAGGAAAAAATGGGGTCCAACTAGGTACTAGTAAACTGTACATAATAAAGTGGCCGGTGAGTGTACAGTATATGTTTGATAAAATGTTAAATAACGTGAAATTAACATAAGTAGCTAGTTTTAAACAAATCCAATGTCTGTATTTTGCCATTTTCCATAATATTTTGTTCCATTTTTACACAAATTGAAGTGCCGACTCTATTCGTCATCAGTTACTTTAGTAACAACCCTGTTACTGAATTTAACTGAGAGGAAAAGTTATAAAACAAATATTTTTATTCAATTCATGGTAAATATAAGTATCAATAATTAAAAACCAATTTATTCCCAAATAGCTAGCCCTTATTGAGTGACAGCTTAATTTATGATAAATTTGTAACCCTGTTTTTTAACCATGTTGTCCATTCTGGCATAATATTTTAATTTGATACATTTTTCTATTTTATTTTGAAAATCACACAAATCAGAGTAACAGAGTTGCAAAGATTGCTTACCTCATAAAAAAAAAATATATATATTTAAAACAATCAACATTTCAATCTCTAGGTTAAGCAACTCTGTTTACTGACAAAAAAACAGCAACTTCTTTTTAAAGAGTTTCAGATTCTATTCTGTACCCTATTTGTGGAATTTATCTGGCTGATTTTTCCAGGCTGTGTTTGAAAAACTGAGATTTACCTTGAAATGCAAAGAGTAAAGACTGATATCCTTCTTTTGGATGTGGGCTGCATCTCTGATCAGCGCTACCAGAAAGCCTCTGGGATTGAAAAAGGCAGCCAGTCGATAAACATGAGGCGCAACACTGGATGACTTCTCCCAAAGGTATGACCTGAGCAGGTCTGCTTGAGTCTCCAGACATGAGAGAGCTGATGATGTTAGATATGCAGCAGTGGAGCTTGTCATGTTATATTTAACTGGCTGAAAATTGTTCAAAAGGAGGAAAGACACCAGCGAATCCAGACGCTCCCACTCTGCCAGGAAGAAACGATGCAACGGACCAAGAGAAGCAGATTCCATTCCCATGCCAATGTGCATTTTCCTCAGCTTGTCTTGTAAAGATAGCAATCTTTCCCAAGACGATCTATAGTCTAGAAGTACTTGGGGTTGCATTAAAACAAGACTGGTGTCTCCTCTGACATCAGCATAAATGTTCTGTGACTGATGCAGTAGAATGTTGAGGGTATGACTTTTTAGCTTCACCAGTTCACCTGCCATACCTGGACTAAAGCCCAGAATTAACGGGTCCGTACTGCTAGTGATACATTGAATATGATGTCTCAAGTCTTTCAATAGGCTCCCATTTTCTGGAGGAAAAAAGGAAAAAAGTTGATAAATGTGTGTGATGAATAAGTGAAGTAATTATTATAGGAAACTTAAAAAGTACTATATAACAGTGGTTCTCATTTAAATGTTTGACTCCAAGGCCCCACGAGTGTCCACAACAATATTCGAAGACCCCCTTCCCCTTTAGGCTAATAGGTTTCCTCTGGTACATCTGTCGTATTGACAAAGTTTTTTTTTATTTACAGAATCTTTAGAGTTCCATAGATAAAAATGAGTAACTTAAATAAGTATAATTAAAATAATATAATTCTAATATAAAATAGTTTAATTATATAGTATAATTGGAATAATAAAATTTCAGAATAAGCAATGTTTTAAGAGCTAAATATAAACAAATAAATGTTAACCAATTTTTTAGCCAATTAATTTACATGACGTTTTTACATGACTGTCTGTGATTTATTAGACAAGACTTAAGGATAAGGATTTAAAAATATATATTTCTTAACAATTTACTAGAATTTTTTTTTTTAGATTTAAGATTTTTTAATTTACATGACTTTTCCAGATCTAGAAATATCAAAATAACCCTATTTTATCCCAGAAATGTCACGACCATTATCATAACCGTGAGATTCAACACATTATTGCAATAACTCAACCAGGCATCGGCTCTTTTTTTTGTGTATGCCATGTTTTTTTTAGAATTTTTGGAATTGTTTAAATGAGGGATATTATGACATGTACGTTCCCGAAAGAAAACTGAAGACTGAAGCCCAGTGCAAGTTAGAGGAACCGAGGCCTACCTCGGTGATGGTGGGGTGTGTGTGTGTGGGGGGTCGGGTTAGCTTTTGGAAGCATGCCTACATGTTCATGTTTGCCACCGCAGGGCCCCCTAAAGTTGCACCTCCTAAGGACGGTTAAGGACGGTCTTTCAAGGAGTTCAGAAATAGTGCTTACTGATATAGAGAATAACTCCCTTTGGAATGGACTTTGGGTAACACTTTATTTTAAGGTGCTTGTAATAAGCAGTAATTAACAGTTAATAAGACACTTATAAGATGCATATAAGCATTAACTACTTCATATAAGGGTTAATTAAAGGTCCAGGCCCTGAAGAGATCAGGGAAACTACTCCCTCTTGGGAAGGTCAATTTTTAAGTGACTGGGAGTTTGTGTTACCATTTCTGTTTGTTCGGCTGTTCTAAAAGTGCAATGTATTGATACTTGAGAAATTTATTATTTTATTTAATTTATTTATTATCATTAGTTAATGCTTATATGCATCTTATATGCATTTTATAAGGTCTTATAAGTGTCTTATTAACTGTTAATTACTGCTTATTACAAGCACCTTAAAATAAAGTTACCGGACTTGGTAATGTGTGAGCATGAAAAATGTCTAAGCACAATCTAAAGAAAGTTGAAAATGTAAGAAAGGATAAATAGGCCCTCTTTAAAGCTTGTTTTCCCTTTTTTTTTTTTTTTTTTTTCATTTTGGACCACTTGGAAGTTTGCTAAGGCCCCCAAGTGGGTCCCCCTGGCTAAGAACCACTGCTATATAGTTTTTGGAAATTTAAGTCATAGTGTGTGCTTGCATACCAAATCTTCCTGTAAAGTTATTGATATCTGAAAGAATGTGTTGCCCACGTCCCCATAATGTAGACGGCTGACTTAGACATGCCCTAACCACACTCTGCACAGCTGCTAGATCAGCATGGTCTGACACGTGGCTCCCATAAACCAGGTGACCTGTTGAGAGAACAGATCAACCAACATAATTTGTATTGAACCAAGAAAATGATTTTAAAGCATTTCATGTGCCAGCAGTACCTGCTATGTACTCTAATGCTCCAGTGGGATCACTACAGTGTTTGGTTATGCGGTGATGTGCATCAATCAGAGCAAGTAGATCTTCCTGAGTCCTATGAATGGAAGAAAGATTGAGTTAGAATGATTTATAATGTATTGTACAGTGATGTGAGTTCAAATCCTCACCAAAGGTAAAGCTGTCCTTGACCAAGGTGTTTGAATGTTTGTCTCTGCAGCAGGACAGAGTGCAGGATGGCACACTGAATGTGCACAGTGTCTTCAGGAGAGAAGAAGAGTGTCTGTTTTACTGAGGACCACAATTCATCCTTCAGGTCCCAGGAGGAATCGCACACCACGTGCAGGGCTCTAATCCTAACAGCAGCTGTATCAGATAATAGATTATGTACATCAGAGAGCATTTGTATGCTGTGGACTCCAGAACTGCAATCAACCCATTTACTTTCTCTGAAAAGGAACACATGCTTCTTTTTTTTCTTCTTTTTTCCTGGGATCTGTTCTTCGTACCTCGCTTAATACATCTGAGATGATTTGACAGATGCCAGATCTTCTAATCGTGATAATTGATCTCTGGTTAATTTGGTTCTTCAAACTAATTTGCGGATTTGATTAAAATATCTGGATTCAGTTGTGTGATATTCCTGCGTGTTCTTGTGTTCATTGGAAAGGGCAGATATATCGATATGTAACAATGCTTCTGTCAAGACTGTTGTAATGACATCATATAATAAAAACAAAGGCGTAGCTTGATGACGCTGTTAATAAGTGTGGATTCATGGAAGCTGTCATCTTCAACTCCACAGCCGATGGAAAGGAATCCAACGGACTCGGGCGTGTTCACGGATGAGCTAATGTATTAAATTTGAACGAGGTCGCAGGGCAGAATACTAATGAAAGACATGATCTCTCTGATTATGCTATGTTAGCCACTTGACAAAACTGTCTCTAAAGCATGGTAAAAACATGGTACTCGTGGTAAATCAAGAAAACAACTGATTCACACAATAAGACTATATAACAATGATTAGTTTTCTGTTGATAAATGTATCCAAACAGTTGGAAATAGAAAATTGCGCTTTAAAACTGGAAATAGAGGGAAACGCGGATATGATGTCATTGACAGGCGACGCACGGACACGGTCCGTGTCCTGGTTAAAATTCCTTATTTCTCTGGATTTAAACACTGTTGGAAATGTTTGGGATACTGTACACAAGTAAGTACACAAGTCAACAAAATATATAACATTGTTTAAGTGATTTTTGGATATTTTAATCTAATAATCTTACATATTGTGCCTTTAAGAAAATAAATATGGTTTTATTTTATGTCGACCTTTTCATTACACCATGGTGCAGACATTTGACTGATTATGATGTGTAATGCCTACCTGGGACTGAGTGAGGTCTGTCACCTTTAGTTATCAGCCACAGTCTGAACTGGGGATGCACAGGTTTTTCTGCACTTCCACCGATTCGAAGAAGCCCACCATCTGTCTCCAAATCTGTCAAATGCCCAGGTGGTTTACAATGAGATAATGAAGTCTGTATAGTTCGTAGGTGTAGTTTGTATGGTTATTAGAGTCACCTTTTGTAGTGCAGGACACTACTTGTGTTAACTTGTTCACAACTCTGACATCCCAACAGTCCAGCAGATGACAGTTGTTCAGGACTAACCAGTGGCCATTTTGGACAGCGCTGTCCAGTGCCAAAAGAACGGCATCTCGATGACAACCAGATCCAAAAGAAATAACACTCAGCTTCACCTGTTGAAAATAATGACATAATTTAAAGGCATAGTTATATTCATTATAAAATAATGATCACCCCTTCTTGAATAATAGTATATGTGTGGCCATGATAACCTAAAGATATATATTTTTCATGAGCCATTTTTCCACCGTCAACGGATCTAAGAACAGCAAGGAACAATTCCCGTTATTTTTCTATTTGAGCTTGGTTCGGCAAGGCATGATTACAAACCCGGCCCGTAATTCTCAGCACGGTTGGCTAACCGTAGTAATGTAGTGATGTCGCCACTCAGGATTGGTCACTTGTCTGTTGCCTGGCTACCAGTTTCTCTGTAACTGGCTAAGTGCACTAAGCAAAATAGACACAAGTTAATAATAAAATTAAAAGAAACTGCTCTTCCTCCATAACGCGGTCGCTATAGACCTTATTCAGAGCACCGCCATGACAGGTATGAAAGCGAGGCTGTGAGGGAGAAAACTTACCGTGTTTTCAACGGTATCCACTGTAAAAAGCTGTATAAAGCTTCTAGATCACTTTTAATTTTACACAGCTCATGTTGTCTGGAGTTTTTTTGTCTATTGAAATTTCTTGGAAAGATATCTTTGCAGTGTTCCTTCAGCAGAACAATCCAAAAACAGATTAAATAATAGTACAACCCACTGAAGAGACGGATGTCTATCCCTCACAGCCTCGCTTTCATTCAAAGGTGGTGCTGCTGTGAATAAGGTATATTTACATCTCATAACGTCTGTAAACTCTTGCGTTAACAAGGCAACAACCGACGCATTTGTATTACATTCCAAAAAGCTCTGTTTCCGCCCCACAGTGGATAATGAAACCATACGGCACGGAATGGAACGGTTAAGCAATGAGAATTGTTTGGATCGACTGTAGAAACGGATAGGGGGAGAGAAAGGTCGTGAACTGATGAGGAGAGGAGGGGAAATGTCACAAGTTGGATTGAGCAGCACAGAGCACATGTACTAACCACTAGGCCAAAGCTCTGACTTTTAAAAATAGACCTTATTTATTTCCACATGACTACACCAGTGAAATTTGTTTCCACTACATTCATAGAACAGTGCCATGACCTTATTAGATTGACAATCCCCCTGGAGTAAGTACCCTGCTCAAGGACACAATGGTGGCGAACCAGCAACCTTTCGGCTATCAACCATGAGCCTAAACCACTACACCATCCATGGTCATTTCTACTAACCAGTGTTATTTTTAGGGGTGTCTTTAAATTAAGTTACATTTTTAATTAGTTTTTGTTATTTTATATATTATTCATTATAAATTGATTTTATTTTGTCATTTTAGTACTTGAACTTATTTTACTTCAGTTTGCTGCCAAGGCATTTTCAAAATTTAAATTTTTTGTTTCAGTTAAGTTTTTCATCAAATATTTATTTTATTTTATCTCTCTTTTATTTCAAATAACTTACCCCTTTGTTGTCCGCTTGGCACTGAGCAACTTGTTTAATCAAGTGGAGAGGGTAGACGCTTACTGGCACTTCATTTTTATCTGGTAAATGTACAACTACAGGACCTTCATTGTTGGACAAAAGGTTGGAGATCATTTCCACAGAGCCCATTGGAGGGTCTTCAGCAAATGAATGCAGCATATGTCCTTGCGCACAGGCTGTAAGGTCCTCTTCCACTGCTGCTAGCCAATGAGGACACAGCGTCTTCCAGAGAATAGCCCGCTGCATTGTGGACAAATGAGAGTGAGACTGACAAGGGACTGGTCCAATCACTGTGGAGGAAGGAAACCGCACGTATTCCCGCCATAGATTGGACGAATTTACCAGAGATGACACGAGACCCCTGAAGGGTGCAATCGTCTCTAATAGATAGACATCATCTCGAGAGTGTGTTTGAATCCAGCTTGGCAGCTTGGGGATAGACTGTGTGGATGGTGATAAAAAACACTCTGAAGATTTCCAATTGCTTAATCCTCTGAGGAAAGTGACTCGTTCTACTTCAGGGCAGCCCTCATTGTGCACAATAACGGCAACAGATACCAATAATCTGTATAAAGCAGAATGGGTCTGGAACAAGCGGGGTTTATACTGAGAAAAGACATGAGACACAATCCTGTAGGTAATCTCTGATATGACAGCTCTGGGTACCATCTCTCTGTGAAACCTCACGTCTGGGCTCTCCAGAGCTAAAGCTGACCGTAACGTGTGCAGGAATCCGTGAAGAGTGAAAAGATAACATGGTGAAAGTCGGGACACGTCCTGGAGAGCGTTGTAAAGGGATAAGGTGAGCTCTGCTATTTGATAAAAATCATCCATCAGGGGTTTGTGCTGATCTGTCTCTTGAGATAGCTCCTTGATTTCTGTCTCAAGTTCAATAGAGACACTCTGACATGTATACACGTGTGGAAGGAACTCAGGGTCCTGGAGAAGTGGGGCAGATGCATGCATGACATACTCCATCAAGGAAATCTGCGATCATAATAAAATTGAAGTTAGGACATGTGCTGTTAAGAATATTTCATAAAGCTTAGCTTTCCAAAAAAGATCTAAACTTCTTGACCAGCCAACCTTGTTTTGAAAAAGTTTATACTGAAGCATCTGCTTTTTTGTCTGTATTTGGTGATGTTGTTTCCACAGTTCTGAACACTCAGTCTGCATCAGTTCTGTCAAAATAAGGTCCCGAACTTCAGATGTGCTTGGAGAAAGATCAATCATTTGAACCTCCTCCAGGATAGAAGGGTGAATTTCTAGCAGAAAATGTGGAAAAGAGTTGATTAAAAGGCAACACCTTACAGCAGGGGTTTTCAAACTAGTTCATTGGAAACCCAAATAGGTGCTGGGGGTCTATGTAAATATGTGAATGGGAAAAAAAAGAAGTTTTGTTAGGGCTGTCAAAGTTAACATTTTCACTTAAGATATTAAAATACATGATTAACACGTTTAAAATGAGATTAATATAAATGTATTCTATTGAGAATACTAGTTATTTAATAGAAAGAAATACATTTTGTAAAAACAAATTGCAACTGGGATGAAAGGCAATACTCCCTGTAGAACTGATTTTTGGACTATATTTATTGTGAAAACACTACACAAATAATTCTGAATTCATCTAAATATGTTGCTTTTCAATAATTTAATTAATATAATATAAGGTTTCACTTTATTGTGATGGTACCCTTAAAACATTCTCTTGACTATAAGTAACTTTGCACCTACATGTTGACTAACTCTCATCAGAGTGTTAGTAGAGTATTAGTAGACTGGTAGGGTTAGGGATACAATAAGTTGACATGCAGTTGCAAAGTTTCTTATAGTCTGTAGAATGTCTGTTGGGGGAGCATCACAATATAGAGTTAGCAGATATTAAGCATACTACTAATACTCTAATGAGAGTTAGTTGACATATAGTCAACAGAATGTTCAAAAGGGACCATCAAAAGAAAGTGTTTCCAAATATAATATAATATAATATAATATAATATAATTTTTTTTAAACAGAGATAAATGAAAATGTACATAGATGCCTTAATTTTTTAGGAAAAGAGTCTTACAATCATCATATTTGGGGGTTCATGGTAGGAAACTTTTTGGAAAATTCCTGCTTTAGAGACTTCTAACAGGATCATACAATGAGTATCCTGTCTGAAACAACACGATATAACACATCCTTAATCACTCACCATGTATCAGAGTTCGAACTGGAAGGGAAGTGCTCATTACAAGGTGAAAGTCAGGATAAGCAGTTTTAACTGGGTGGCTCTGACCAGGAGAACTGGCTGGTGTAACAAACTCCTGAAGGATTTTTAGGTTTGATATTGCTCGTTCAATATGCGTCACCAATACTCTTAGACCTGCAGTGGATGAAAGCAAGGTGAGATTAAAATTATTCACAGTGTAGATTTTAAAATGAAACTGAAGATCAAAACGAAGAAGACATGACAGATGACTGACCTTTTTTTGCTCCGTGGTTTAATTTATCAAGTAACTCTGGATCATCAGCAGAAACTATAAGTCCATATTTATCCAACTTATAACCTTTTTCTTCACCTCTTGTATATCGACCTAAAAAGAAATTTCACTATAACTGAAAGATATTTCTAAGTAGTAAGACATATTAAAAAAAGACAGATTTTCATACTGACCAGGAGGAGACCATGTCTGAGGTTCCTCATCTTTCTGATGATCTGCTAGTAGAGGACAGCGATGAGCCCAAGCAACTTTGTTCCCCCAGTGAAGAACACTTCGGACCAGATCAGAGGAATCTCCATGGATGCGATGCAGATCTAGTCCAAGTATTCGATTTAAAGCAATTTGAAATGTCTTACTGATGGGAATGGCCACGTAGTGTTCACAAGTTGTGATTGGGGCATCATTGAAAAGTGCTGCATTTGGGTATTCCCGTTTCATTTGAATTTCACCAGTCAGACAAAGTTTGTGCCACTTCTGGAGCAGCTCTTGTCGAACATCAGGCCCGAACGGACCCAAGTAAGTAACAGCAGCTGCCAAAATCAGGGCGTCACCTGCAATGCATTGTTTAGCCAACTCTGCTTCCTGTAATACACCAAAATATTGAGTCAAATAATGTCTTGTCTAGTTTCATTTGATCAATATGCACATTGCTTGAAAAATTCTGTTGAAATACCCATCGACAACTTTAGCTACCTTTCCTTCTGATGTCCAATATTTAATGTGATGTTCAACCAGTTTGAGAGCAGCACACGACTCTCTCTCTTGAGCCTCTGCGGTACTAAGCTGGGTCTTCAGCAACTCCATGTCTCGTCTGTTGAGCTCCTGTTGTCTCACCAATTCAACTAGTCTTTCCCGCTCTGACTCCTCCTGCAGCCTCGTAACCCTCAACCGCGCTAGACTCTCAGCCATGAGCTCATCTAAATTGCACTTTTTAGCCTTTTGAGGTGCCATGTGGCGCTGTACGCAAGCATACTTGTATACTGCTGTCACCCAGCGACACAAAGATTCACAAGCCCGGCTCACATCTCGCACAGAGCTTGGCTGAAAGGCTGGTGCCTGTGTTATATGACCCAACTTTTGAATCGTCTCATCAGTTAATTTAGAGCAATCGAAAAATTCCAGTTCCTGTTGGAGCACAAGAGGGAAATGATACAAATCTCAAAACAAGTATGGCTTCAAAGGGTTCAGTAAGGGATTATTTTTACCTGAAAGAAGCTGGATTGCACCAAAAGTTGTCTGCTACTGTCCCAGCCACATGGACGGTTGAATAACATGCATATAATGTCCATGACCATGACGACTCCATCAGGCGGCATCCTGTAGTGCCGCATCTCATCCAAGTCAGACTGGCTCAAAGACTGCAGTGCATCCACAGCTGCTCGATACAGTGGACTCACCTGCACACAACCAGCAACAATGAAAAACCCATTTCAGTGTGTCCAATGTGTGATCATAATAATCAAACCAGACCTGTTTAAAGGCATCTTGAACTTGTTGCTGAACTCGATGTGACTGATTCTCTAGATCGGAAAGCCACTCTTCTTCCCGCAAACTTTGGTTATGGGTTTGTTCCAAGATTTTTTGTGACGCATCCACCGATCTCTGCAGCTGGTCTAGACACTGCAATGATACATGAATACATAGTTTACAATAGTGAAAAAAAAGGACATTGGGATTATTTTTGATCTGAGCTATTGACACAAATGTTTCAGGTCCAACCACTGCTCCATTTTCTTCGAGAGCCTGAACAAAGTAAAATCACTTTTTGAACATAATTTACAACTACATCCTACTGCTTCTTATGTACATCATAAGAAGGATGGCGTCTACGCTAATATTAGTCTCTCTGTTTATCCCGAGGGACCCTCTATGGTGGACCTGCGCCTGGACACATCCCAACTCATCCTGAAGTGCCAGCCTCCTCAGCCCTGTGAAGGCCTCATCGACACGACGCCATCAGCTCTGATCCTCAACAACAACTTGTCTCCATACCGGCGTGATTACTTCAACTTCCAAACAGATGGAAATGGATAAATACTCGAAAAGTTCCTATCAAATCTGACTTGTAATGCTGCCCGAATCATACACTGTTCCTTCGTTGGCCAGAGGAGAACTGGCCCCCGACTGAGTCTGGGTTCTCCCAAGGTTTTTTTCTCCATTCTGTCATCTGATGGAGTTTTGGTTCCTTGCCACTGTTGCCTTGGCTTTTGGCTTGCTTAGTTGGGGACATTTAATATTCAACAATATTATTGATCTGCCTTACTTAAGGTGGACGTTGATGCAATTTTCTTCTAGAAACAAACTTTGTTGTATTATTTTCATGTTATCACTGTGAAGCTGCTTTGATACAATCTGTATTGTAAAAAGCGCTATATAAATAAAGGTGACTTCACTTGACTTCTCCATTCAACCATTGCTGCTGATATGTACCTTCTGTTTTGCTTCACATTTGGCCCTAAAGCTCAGAACGTCCTGAGTGTCCCTTGCAGCTGTGTCGGTCATGACCTTCACATCTGCTAGCACTTTTGCCAACCTAATAAGTGAATAAAAAAACAAGAAACAAACACAATCATTTTTTTTCAAACATTTCATACATGCATATAATGTTAAAATGTTTTAAAATGGTTTAAAAGAAGTCTCTTATGGTCAAGGCTGCATTTATTTCATAAAAATATAGTAATATTGAGAAATATTACATTTTAATGTATTTTAAAAGACATTACTCCAGTCTTTAGTGTCACATGATCCTTCAGAAATAATTCTGTTTTGGTGCTCAAGATACATCTTGTTATTATTCTTATCTTATCATTATCACAGTTGAAAGGAGTTGAGCTAATATTTTGGTGGAAACCATTATACATTTTTTACAGGATTATTTTAAAAATAGAATGCTCAAAAGAACAGCATTTATTTGAAATATTATAAATGTCTTTACTGACACATTTGATCAATTTAACGCAGACTTGCTGAAGAAAAACGAACTGACCCCAAACTTTTGAACGGTAGTGTATGTGTTTAAATACAATAGCTGTACTAGCAGTCCTCTCACCGGTTGTACTGAACTCCGCTTTGCTCAAAGAGGTGCCGGCAGAGAAAGAAGAAGCGATCCATCAGCTCTATGTAGGACCGAGGGCCAAACGGTTCAAAATGAAGCAGTGTGACAGCGTATTCTGTAGCCAATAGATGTATTCCAGCCATCGCCTTAGAAATACTATAAGCTAAGCTATCCTTGGCAACTAGAAATGCAATAAAAAAAACACAAACTCTTTTTTTAAAAATCACAAAATTATCCATTTGTTAAAATTAGAAATATGATTATATTCAATAGATTCACCTGTACTTTCTGTCTCTGGTATCTGCTCACTGGCTTTTAAATGATACAAGGCACTTTCAGCGAAAGACTTAGAGGTCCAAGGTTGATACACTTCTACACAACAGCAGAGACTCACAGCCTTGGTGACATGCGACTCCAAATCTGAAGATTTTCCGGTTTGTCTTTCATGATTGTCCGGGAGGAGAGGATAAAGAAGGAATACGTGCGTATTTCTTTGGATGTTTTTGAAATACCTGCAAAAAAGGAATTATATTACATTAACTTTACTTTCAATTGGGAATAAACGCACAATATCAGTACTATATAAGCTATCAGCCAATATTAAAGAATTAATTGATCGGTATCGCTTGATACTAATTATTTATTTGTGCTTGTTCATTTCACATATTTTTACATTAAGATTACCTTTGTCGTGTCAAATAATACATTGAGATTACTTTTGATGTCTGTTAAATGTATTTTTAGAAGATTTCAAATTAAATTTTTCATATTGTACATTATAATGTGCTGAATATGTGCGGCCTAATTTCAACTGTAGCATTTAAAATGATTGATTTTATCTATTTATTTATCTTTTGTGATTTATTAATTTATTTAAACAAAATAGCATATCACATAAACTTTGATACCAGTCATTTACTGGTTATCAGCCACAACATTAAAATAAGTATTCATTTATCAGTATCTTCATTAATTTTAATATTGGTACATCTTTACTTTCAATGTCTTGATCTGCTTCAAAATCACAAGAAATCCAAGTATAAAAATGCAAAAATATTTCAATAATGAGATACAAAATGATGAACAAATAAATAAGCTTAATTAAAGAATAAACTGAAAAAACATCAGTATCTCAAATAAATGATATGAAAATGATACTTATACCCTACATTTCAAGAGCTTGGTCATCCCTCAAATGGCTCCATGTTTTCATCCTTAGCTTCACTTTCTTCAGTTCTTCATCTGAATACAGTCCAGGCAAGATTCCATTCGTCATCATTACCAGCAGTTCATCCTTAACAGCCTGGCTGGTGTTCTCATGAACCAGTAAAACCAAATGTACGGCATCCACTCCAGTTCCGCTCCAAACCGCTTTCATCATTTCCCACAACTTGGTCTCATTTCCAGGATGAACCTCAATTAGTTGGTATCCTGTCAGAGCAGCTGCTAGACGAACAGTGGTCTTTCTGCCTGTTTTCTTTGTTGCTCCAAACAGAGCTCCGTGTCCACCAGGAATAAGAAAAGCTCGGATGACATGCACAAGCTGATGTATGTTCTGGTGATGCACAGCCCATTTAGGACTATAATAAGTGTCATCAGATTTTTCCATTTTATTTTCCTCTCTGCTTTCAATAGTATGAACCAGTTGGTCCATCAACATATCTACATCTCTTTCCAGATACACACAGTTGCGTTTAAAATTATGATGCTGAAGAATGTTGTTCAATGGCTCACAAAGTTCTGGACTGAAGATCACATTCTGGATGGAAGAAGTTGTTTCCTGTAGAAGCTGCAGAAACTCTTCACGTGCAGCTGGTTTTTGGTTTATGTAGTCATATCTGTTTTCACCAGATTCAGAATGAGAAGAAAACATCATTTGAAATGAACAACTTGAGGATTCAGTTGCAGATTCAGATTTACACTCTGATGTTCCTGGTTCTCTCTCAACATGTCCATCATCTTTTACTTCATCTTTACTGAATGAGGATCCATCCTCACCAATTCCTGGGCTATACAAGCTGGGGTTGCTCTCTACAACATAGCTCTCTTCCCTCTCTGTCTGAACTTCTGTCATTCCAAGCAAGGGAATCACATTCTCTTCCAACTGGGAAGGGGTTGAATCCCGTTGCTGGTTTCCATTATGTTTGTTTGACACAGATGATTGATCTGTAGGGCTTGATATATCTGCTGAAGGTGTTTGGGAATCAGCTGACAATCTAGTGCCAAAATTCTTCTCAGAAACTTCAGCTAAAATTGAGATAAGTTTTCGGCATGCCTCCTCTGAAGTTAGGCGATCACCAAAAGTGCGCAAACACTCATGCATCCACAGACGGGCAATGTTGAGATCAAGAGCTACATGACCAACAACAGATGGAAAAAATACTTTTTTCTCAGCTGAAGAGAAACTCCTAAAACCCACACTACTCTGAAGAGCCTGCTGGACACCAAGTCTTGGCCTCCAGAGGTACATCCCTTGAAACACTTTATGAATATCATGCAAAGAAAAGATGAAGTTTGGACTATGTGACGCAGCATTAAAATATGTACGCACTGAAAAATACATGTCAAGAGTTGAGGTTATGATGCCGTTTGCTATATCTGCAACCCTCTGCATGGGTTGTATTTCTTTCAGCCATGTTTGCAATTTCGAGGAATGAATAGAAAACAGGATTTCAGAAGTCATGCTTGGGAGAGACAACGTGGTGAAGAGTCGAGAGAGCCGTGGAGACATCCGACTGTTCTTGCCTGCATTAGGAGCAATGCAAGTGCCTAGAAAATGAATTGCTCTTGATTGAATCAGCTTGAAGTGAGTGTCATCGGATATCAACACTTCACCTCTAGAAATACATTGACGCAATGTCTCTAGAGTCATTGATGTCTTTCCATAAGCATCTGCAAAAAAGAACAGAGACGCAAGCTAAAGTTCATAAATGTTAACCTTTTGTTAAAGTTTTTTTTTTGTCAATGAAGTTGGAAAATGTGCATCATGATGATTAATTGATGCTGTCTGAAATCAGATGAGAAGTACTACTAATTATGTTTTTCAAGAAGAAAAATCTTTCAAGAATACAATATATGATATGATTACCATATTGTACTCGTTTATAATGTTACTTCAGGAGCTCAAGTAAATAAATAGAAAATAATGAAAGATATATATGGATGATTGATATTTTGGTTTATTAAAACAAATGTTCCAGCAGCTGACTCAATGTAACTTTTTTAAAGACTCACCAAATGGTGCTTCACTAAGGTCATCAATGAACAGAAGAAGGTCTGGCTGCTTTAAGACCTTCATGTTGTTTATTTGAGTATCCTGGTATCTAAATTTCTTGAGTGCCTTGCACAAGTCAGAACGGTGAAGGCCTGGACTGGCTTGTAAATGCATGTGTGGTCTTGCTCGTGATATTAAAGACTTGCACAGCATTGTTTTGCCAGAGCCAGACTCTCCCACAAGAAGTGCTGGCTGTTGAGCATCCAGAAGCATGTCCAGTAGATATGCATGTATTTCATACTATATCAAGGGCAAGAAGTACACAATTTAATCACCTGCTGAATGAGGAAACATATCATTTTTATGTTAATATGTACTCTATAAAAGGCAAACCTGAGGCACAGACGTGAAGAAGAGCTGTGGACTCTTACGCCTACTGCAGTTGATGAAATTGGTCGTGTCTCTCATTTCACTGAATTCAAAGAAATGCTCAAATACTGTGCCTTCTGGTGGAGTCTCAACTTCACAATGGCTCTTATGTAGGGCCTCCCGTGCAAAAAGATCAAAATGTGGCCAGTGTCTACAATGAGAACAGGCATATTCTTTTATATTCACTGTAACAAAACAAGGATTATTGGAATATGGAGCAGGAACATACTATTTCAGTCTTTCACTTCAAAATGTCTCCTTTAAGTCAAGGGGCCCTATCTTGCACCCAGTGTAATTGACTTTGTACACCGACGCATGTATCATTCCTATTTTGCACCCGACGCACAGTGGACTTTTCCCTCCACAGACGCACGTCGGTAAATTAGGGAATGAACTTGCGCTCCCGGGGGCGGTTCAGCAAAAAGAGGAGGCGTGTTCCGAAGCAAACGTTCCCTGGTGCTATTTTGCAGTTTCAGAAAACAATTCCGCCACAGACTAGGAAAAACCTAGTCTAAAGTCAGTGGCGCGTTATTCAGATGCTATTTTAAGGGCGCATGCTTGACCATAATGTAGCGTGTGCACAACGCGCATACACTTTGCTTCTCTGATAAACAGACGCAGCAGTTCCCATTTTTGCAAACCATACATAATTACAAGGAAAAATATTACCACACGAGGGTAATCATTGTGGTGTCCATGAAGATGTGAAAAATAGGCATAAATCTACCTTACACATTTACCCAAATTATTATACGCCTGTTTAACCGAAGCTAATTTGGGTGGGTTTCTCCCATCCCCATACAATGTCACTTCTGTCTTTTACGGCCCTGACGAGAACGTCGGTCTCCTCGGCTGTGAACCGCTCCTGGCGTGTGCCTGGCAAATCCACCATTATAATAGCAATCCGCCATGCAAGCGCGCCTGCTTTTAAAGGGAATGTGAGATGACGCTCTGATTGGTTTATTTCACGTTACGCCCAAACCACACCTATGAGTAATTTAGCTACATCAGACCAACCCATTTTAGATTTGCGTCCGAGATCCGCCCACAAAGTTACTTGCGTTTCGCGTTTGATACTTGAGTTTCAGATCGTTAAAATAGGGCCCAATGTGTTACTTGACTTTTCTTTGTAATTATTTGTGAAATTTTCAAAGTATATCCTACACCATTTCAGTGTATATCATAACTTCTAGAATTTAGTATCTTCACTCATGAATTACATGTATACCTAGGGTTCAAATGTCCTCCAAATCCCCAAATGTAAGCTACAATGAAGAGGTTTCTTGCTTGCAAGCCCCATTGAGTAGAGGGAGCCATGGCATCACTGCACGGTGGCTGGACAACTTGTGCATTATCTAGTGAACAGAGAATGTGAATGGTACGTTTATATGCATTGTTAACAAAAATTATTTATACAAATGTGATAATCAGTGTCTTAATTTAGTAAACATTTCAATAGGTCAAACAATCATATTCTCTGAACCTAGAAGGCTGTTCCTTCAACTATATAGACACTATAGGGAGTTGTCACTTAAAAAACACTTTTCTTACTCTCACTAGTTAAATTAATTTGATTTTGACAATTTAAAAGTAATAAAATAAATTCAAGCAAAAAAAGTAGTTTCCAAATATGTTTTAATGTGATCTTCCTTTAACAAAAATAAAGTTAAAATCTGTTCCTTTTAATAAAAATCAACCCCCAGCTAAGTGTCCAAAGCTGAAGAATCAGCCATAATGCATAGATTTGTACAACTGATGAGATGAAATTGTGTGTGGAATTCTACCTGTTGTTTCCGTTTTCCTTGAAGTGTATTTCAAGTCTTCTGATTTTCCAGAATGCTCCAAAAGTACACGAAGAATCTTAATAAAGGACATTATTTCCTGCAAACCATCAGTAATCCTAGATGAATGTCTGCCTTCACATCCATCACTGGCCAGCGCTGGAGAAAGTGCTTTGTTTTTGAGAAACGCTAGTGTGTCAGAGAAAAGGTCTTCAGCAAGGTGACTCCACATTTCCAGAGTAATCTGGTCCATATTATGCTCACTAGAGAGCACATCCATCTCACACTTCCACACAGATCTCCACAGGTTCTCTCCAGAAACATATACCAGACTACAGTGTGTCACAACAGAGGGGGTTGAATCACCAAGGTTTGTGACCTCAGCTAGTATTTTCAGTTTTGATGGCTCAATTTTCTCTCCTGATGAAAGGTAAAGATAAGGATGTTCAAGATTGCAAAGAGTAGTCAAAGAGTCCAACCAAGCAGGTCTGCCAAATGGATCACCATCCAACACAATCCATTTCAATCGCTGTGTTTGCAAAGTTTTCTTTCTTTTGAAAGAGTCGATGGGCATTGGCTGCTCAGAGTGTCTTAATGCTTTAGTGAAAGCTCCATCAGACCAGGAGTTGTCCATGCCAAAATAACCACCAAAAAACTGTTTGTGGGACAAGGTATTGGGGAATATGACCTCGGTGCTCACAGCTGTCCAACATGACATAGACAAATGATGATAGATGTCTTTAAGATCTCCTTTAGGATCACCAGCAGATTCAACCTCCAGATCCCTGGAAAGTTTTTGAAGTGCACTTACAAGGGCTTGATACAAAGTTGTTTTGCCACTACCTGCTGGTCCAACAAGCACTACAACATTGGAGAGCTTCAGAGCTTGATGCAGGATAAATACATTGTGAAGCATTTGTGTGTCTGCATAAAATCCTTGTTTATGCAACTCCTTTTTCACTGCATTTCTAAGCACACTTTGTTCCCCTTCATCAATGAACTGTTGTAGACTTGGAATGGAACTCACTTTGGGAAAGATTGCCTCAAATATGGTATAAAACTGTGATGCTCTCATTGGATCTGACACAGTATACTGCATGACTGACAGAACTCCTTTGATTGCTGCTTGCTCCTCTAACTTCACATTCATAATTGTATTGGACTTGACCTTCTCTGGCACTGTTTCAAGATTTGTATTTGTAGATCCGGTTTCATTTTGACAAAAAAATGTACCTTTATCACTTTCTTTCAAATGACGAGAGAGATGTAAATGTGCTCCAGAGGCAACAATCACATTTTTGAGAAGGACAAGCCAAGAGGTCTGATTTCCACTGACAAAATCAGGGAGGCAATGTGAATCCTTAGCAAGGCTAAAGAGAGAGTCCAGGCGGCGACTTATGGTAGCTGCTTTAGAGAATCCGAATGACACCAACATCACTTCTGCAATGATTCTGTAGTGTGGCTGCATCATTGCAACAGGCCTCATTGCAGCTCTCAAATTTTCTGGTATCTCAGTTGAGTAGCCATTAGCTGAGATTGTGATACATCCATAAGTTAGCTTGGCCCAAATATTTTTTCCAGCAATGTGACATTCCACCTCACTCACTGTACTGTTGAACTTTTTGATTAATTCTCCACTGCCACACTTTCCAACAGTGGAGGACAACTCATGTCCTTTCTTTTGTGCTTGTCTTTGAACTGCTGATAAATGTTGATGAATTTCGGTCAACTGTTGTCCCAGCTCAGACAATGTCCCTTGTCCCAACAAATCCACAGAATCAAGAATGAGCCAAGCCCCAGTTTGAAAAGCACCAAGAAGCATTTGGAAAACAACTGAGGAACCAGTGCTTGAACAACACTTCAAGATGACCACTTGTCGTCCCAAAGCATAACCCAATTGCACAGCGGCATGCAGTTTGCCTGACATGTGGGGTCCACTAATGAAAGCACACTTGAAGCTTGATAGGGCAAGAATTATGCTCATATAAGCTTGCTCAGTTGAAGGGGTAGTCACTATCGTCCAGTTCTCAGGTCCAATGTATTCATAGCCATATGGCAATTGAGTACTCAGAATATCAACACAGACAGACTGATCCTCTTGAGATGGAAGTAAATCAGAAGTCGTTGCATTAGGATTTGGAATGATGTAATATTTCATAAGCTTGTGCCATTCAAAAGAGGACTCCAAATCTCCTTTTACTTCAACAAGCCTATCGGTTTGGCCAGAGTGCTTCATGGTTAGCACAACCAAGACACGCAGAGCTGTCAAAGTGCGTAGGAATGGTTTCTCATTTGAATTTGCAGCTTGTTCTTTTATAAGCTGGCACAAATACTGCAGTTTTGCTGCATTTTGGGACTTGATTCTCATCCACATGGCAGTAGTAGTACAATGTGATGACTTCTGGACCATACTACACCACAAAACCTCCTCTGCCACCAAAATGCATTGCAAAGGAAACTGAGATATTAGATTCAAAAGTGAAGGAGGATCATGAGCTACTTCTGAACTGTTCCCCTTGCTATTCCCAATCAGGTCTGGGGTGCCAGGAAGTTTTTCGGGCTTTGAATTTTGCTGGACAGCTAAGCATTTCAGAAATGTCTTTCTCACTGCTTGATATAATTTTTGCTCAAAGAGACTAAGCCAAGCCACAGGACTGAGATTTGACTCAAGAGGACAGACGAAGGGAATGTGTTCACCAAATTCTCCATATACACCATGAACCCACATTCGTTCATTACTTAGAACTGATAAATAATTTTCTCTGCAAACATCACCTTCAACTTGAACCTCAAGCTGCTTCACTCCCTTGAAGCATTTCTGCACCAGAGGTAAAAGGGAGGAAGGTGCTGGGAGCTGTAAAGAGAGAAGTTTCATCACTTCTCCATCACTGAGATAGTAGAGTCTAGGGAACTGGCTTCGTGGTGACTCTAAGACGTAGAGTAAGTGACTGGAAATCTCCTCCATTGTTGTGAGTCCATTCATAAAGGCAGCATATAGACTCTGTCCTTGTAAATGGTCACTGGCCTTTGTTGTTTCACTCACTCGAACAAAACTGGACACATTTGGGTCATTAACTGTGATCTCAATGATTTCACGAAATACCTTATCCACCGGGTGAAACTTCTCGTGCTACAATAGAAGAAAGTTTGATTAGATAGAGAAAATTGTTTCACTTAAACTGCATTAAACGAACTAAGCATAACATCAAAAACATACCAACTCAGAGTTTTGGGAGCGCATTTCATTGAATGTTCTGCTTAAAAAGATCCATTTCTGCTGATATCGCTCAAATATATCAAGCAATTCATCTGTAGTTAAAGGCAAGAGAAAACAAGAAATGAACATTTCTTAACACCCTCTACTGCAATTGTTGACCCCTATCTTGATCTTACGAATATACCTAGCTTTTGTAAAAGCAGCAGCCAGTGTTCAACCTCTTTCTGAAACTCAGCAACATGTGGCGAACGCAGCATATCAGAAAAGGTCAGAACACTTTCCTTAGTCTGAGCCAAAAGCGTCTCTAAACCTAAACGGAAAAGTGAGGAAAAAGATCAAAAATTGTATATATGTAACTGTACATCTGTATTAATAGTCGAGATTAGCTGTATATATGGGAGTCTATATAACTTACCAATAATAGTGAAGGTTCCACCATCACTAATGTGATGCTTTGGTGCATTTTGAGGTTTCTCCTTTACATCACCTAGTGGAGGACTTTGCTGTTGCTGGACAGTAATAATGAACCTGGTATGATGGAATTCTGCCACTTCCCAGTGTCTCTGAAGTGCTCTGAATGTCTGTTCCATGTCTGCCTCAGCTTTGGCATCTAGATAGATCTGGAACCAAATGCACATCCACACCCCATAGCTTATAATGATCGAAATGCAGTTAATGTTAAGTCTTCACATTACATTTACCAGTGTAAACAAATGCTACTGAACCTTGTTGATTTTACTTTGATCCCTCAGTAGCTCTTTGGACATGAGATCAGCCACCGTTACTTTCAATTCCCGGTCATACGGCAGACCAACTCCTACAGAAATGGAATGTATGGTTGGTTTCTAATATATATATATATATATATATATATATATATATATATATATATATATATATATATATATATGAATGATATTACAGGTTCCTACTAATTAAAAACTATTAAAACTGACCTGACACTTATGTATGTTTATGTCATTTACCCTTTGAGATGTTTCTCCAGTGCTTTTGCTTCAGTGTGGGGCTACTCAGCTTACTCAATACAGAGAGTAGCTGGCTGAACCCCTGCAAAATCTGTAGGGTTTTCTGTAGCAAAGGATCATGGGAGGGTATAACTTTTGCAAATGCCTCTGCCTGTTGTAGCCATTCATTAACCTTGTCTTGGGTTTTAGCAACCACAAACTGCAAAGATGTAAATGCAGGAGAAGTTATATAAATGCAGGATCAAATGAACTGTTTGGTGTTAATAACTACATACCTTCCTGAACTTTAGTAGCTTCCACTCTTGGATTTTTGAGGACGACATGCTCATTAGCTCCCAGAGCCCTCTCCTTGCTTCAATATTCTGCTGTGCTTCAGTCACAAAAGTGAGATCCAGTAGGTGACCTGAAAAAATAAACGAAACCCCTGACATGAAACCATTGCATTAAAACTACTGGAAGAGAGGTGTTTAAGATCCTGAGCACATTATCTTACCTCTCAGAATTTCGCTGGCTCTGCTCTGATCATTCAACTGCTCAGCAATCATATAAAATTGACGGCACAACGGTTTCAGCTGGACAAGCATTTCTTTGCCATTCTGGTCAGGGTCGAGATATAGTCCAGAGGTGGCTCTGGAAACCAGGTTGTCTAATTTGTTCACTAATGAGGAAACATTACTGTCCAGTGTATCAAGCATAGACGGAAGCTGCTGGGAAACTATGTCTGCAGCTTGTTTCAGGAGTGGAACAAACTGATTCCACAAGTCATCTACCTGCAGAAATAGTTGGTTGTTAGATTTTGCAACTCAATGAAATCAATTAAATAAATTACATATTTTTACATGTACCTGCTTCAATGAGAGAACGTTGTTTGAAGCTATATGAATATAATTCCTTCTCGCAGTTTCTTGTAGAGAGTGGAGGTCTTCCAGCCTCTGCTGCATATCTCCTGACATTCTCTCACTGTGCTTTACCTGCATAAATATAATCATGTTGAATGATTACTCCACAGTTTACACTGATTGACCAGTACGACACAGCAGTATGTCAAAGTTAATACCATGTTTGAAAAAACTGTAAACTTGTGAAAAGTATTTGGCTCAGACTCCATGACTTCCAAAGCTCTTTTCAGCTGAGAAGTGAGATTCTCAGAGCGTATCTGCAAATCTTCACACAGTAGCTTTAGCACATCCTCGTCAATGGTGATTAACATGGAACCTAAACACAAAAACAGGACAAGAAATTAACATATGCCTGATACTCATACATAATCGCTTTGTTTTTTAAACTGCACAAGAGACTAACACTTTCTGTATAGAAAAATCCCATTCATTTTCTTCAATGAGAAATAGACTTTTAGCATTAACATATAAACCATTTGAGGCAAACCTACCATGAGCTCTGAGGATGTTAAGAAATGGTATATGCTTCTATACCAAGCATACCAACCATAATCTTATTTTTAATCAATAATTTATAGTCAGTACTTTTATTTGTAGGCTATTATTGTGCCATATTGTGAAATTATGTTGTGAAGTTTTAAGATAGTTTTATAGACTTTCCACTATCTTTTTTTTTTTTTTTTTTACTGAGCACTCGCAATGAATCCTGGGATTGCCTAATGTAACGGCTGTAACTACATCATTCATCTAGGTGTTTTATCATTACTTAACAAAAAATGATGCACATAGATCACAAATTTCATTATATTATTGTAGATGTTTTGCAAATGACTGATTTTTAAAAGCATAAAATTGACAAGTCTATGATGCAGTAGGCATCTCAATTTAGTAAAAAGAGAAAAAAAGAAAACATATAATTGGAATTTAGACACTTGAAAACACACCGATATCCTTTTGGATGTTGGAGAACTCGACAGTGAACAACTTATTTGATGTAGTAAAGAGCTGAGGCATGCTGTAAACTTTGTCCATCCAAAAATGAAGTTTCTTGATTAGCTCCTCATATTTCAGAGGGGAACATCCACGCAAGGTCTCTAGAGAGCCTGAACCCCACTGACTGGCGAACAGATGAACACCTATCAACCAAGAGTGGCTCTCACACAGCTGGTGCACCTCTGTAATGGCATCCTACACAAGAGAATCATGGCATCAGAACTGCAATGTTTGTTTTGTGGAGTAGTAAAGCTTCTGGACATATTTGTACTCTTCTAGGCATGGTATTTATTTGAATTTAAAGCATACACAATGTCAAGTTGGAAAAGTAAGAATACCTGTGCAATCTTTTCCTGCTCATTCTGAATGCCTTGTGCTCCAACGTGAGCTTTTAAGTTCCACTCCAGCAGTCTCTGTGGCAGAGGCTGATAATGGCCTTGCACTCTTTGTGCCTGAACTCTGAGAGAGTTCATTTTGACTGGCACTACAGTTTGGGGTGACATATCACGCTTCATTTGGGAAGAAACACTGTAAGGACCTGTTACTTCACAACCTTTGGCTTTAAATTCTGAAAAGAGAATGCTAAATATGATAATGTTATGTTACATTCGTCATACATGCTGATTGTTAAAGAAGAATGTTTTTATTTATTTAATGGAAATACTCTGCTGAGTACCTGAAATGAGGTCTTCAACACAACTGTTGGGAAAACAGCCTTTAGAGTCACATGACAAACTGCAGGAGTCAAATACCTGTGTGGATCATATCACCAGTTTAGCATACCCTTGTGAAAAAGAAGTGTGCTTAATAAATTATAAAAAAAAAATTTAAACTACTTGAAGATAATATATTAATAAAATGGCACTTAAATTTTAAAATTAAAATTCTGTCATTAATTACTCACCCTAATGTAGTTCCAAAATCCATAAGACCTTCGTTCATCTTCTCGTCTCTTCATAATATTAAGACTGAACCACTGTAGTCACATGGACTATTTTAACGATGTCTTTACTACCTTTCTGGGCCTTAAAAGTGGTTATTACATTGCAGTCTATGGGGGGTCAGAAAGCTCTAGGATTAAATCAAAAATATCTTAATTTGTGTTCCGAAAATGAACGAAGGACTTACGGGTTTGGAACGACATGAGGGTGAGTAATTAATGACAGAATTTAATTTTTGGGTGAACTAACCATTTAAGTGTACTTAAAGAGAGTGAACTTTCAAGAAGTTTCTTAACACACTTATACACTTTTAAAAAGTGCACTTGTAATAATGTCAAATTAAGTTTTACTTAATAGTGTGTTTTTCAAAATTTAATGTTAATATGTGCTAAATTGCAAACTCGTAATTACAAATATATTTAAATAGGCCTACATTACATGTGAGTTTCACTAGAATTTTTTTAAGTATATTTTTGTTTACCTTAGATCGGTGGTTCTCAACAAATTTCCAAGGGGGCCTCAACATGACTTAAAATTATTTACAATAAAATAAAACAAGCAGGATGTACAACTGTCTAGTTATAGCAAGCTCTAAAATATTTTAGTGGGTAGAAATTGTGAGTGGGGGAGGGGGGGGGATAGCTTCAAATATTGCTGTGGACAATGGGGGCCCATGAAGTCCAAAAAGTTGAGATCCACTGCCTTAAATGCTTGTTAGTATATTCGGGGTTACACTTTACCCATATGGTAACACTTTACTTGAAGGGGTGTACATAAGACTGACATGACACCTTCATAACCATGACATGACATATGTCATGAATATGAAGTAGGGTTTATGCATGTTTATGACAACTGTCATTAAGTGTATTTTGCTCAATAATGACATTTTGAATGCAAATATGACATTGTTTAAGATGTCTTTGTTATGACACATTGACATAAACAATAACATCATAACCTGTCAGTGTCTTTGTCATGACAACTTGACATTAAATTAAGTTAAACTGTCATGTGGTTGGTTTTGACATTGGCTGTCATAAGGCCATTATAACTGTGTCATGAATATTTTTCGTGACCTCAACTACAGTGGTACAAATTGAATTTGTCATTAAACAGTTATAATGGCTTCATGACAGCCAATGTCAAAACCAAACACCTGACAGTTTAGTGTAATGTTAACGCTAGTTACGCATGTAACTGTGGTTCTGTGAATTCTGGATGACCGCCAGAGGCAGTGTAAACACTATGGATTATCGCAGCGCCAGCTAGATAGGTCGAGAGAATATACCAACAAAGTCACGTGGCGTGACGTATGCTGAGCCCTGGAGGGTAAAGCTACAGTAGCTCAGCACTCTACCTCGGTACGCCTTTCTCGCGCATTCCGAGTGACAGAGAACTCTGGCGGTCATCCAGAATTCACAGAACCACAGTTACATGCGTAACTAGCGTTCTGTTTCATTCTTACTGACCGCCAGAGGCAGTGTAAACACTATGGATGACACATACCAACATAGTCATGAGGAATGCCACCCACCTGATGAAATTAAGGCTGCTCCAGAAGAACCGCAGAACTAACGGCATGATGAGCAGCAACGTTGACCTTATAAAACCGGGCAAACGTGCATGGAGAAGCCCAGGTAGCAGCAGTGCAGATATCCACCAGGGAAACTCCTCTAAAAACAGCCCATGAAGATGAAATGGCCCTAGTGGAATGGCAAGTTAGTCTCCAGGGCAGTGGTCTCCCTGCCGCCTTGTAAGCCAGCGTAATGGTCTCCACTATCCAGTTCGACAACCTCTGTTTCGACACTGGAGCACCTTTCTTCACACTACCATGGCAGACAAATAACTGGTCTGACCGTCTAAATTGAACAGTAGAGTTCACATAACACTTCAAGGCCCGAACAGGACACAAGAGTTGGGCACTTGAATCGGACCCTGAAGAAGTCTGAAAGGAGGCCAGTTCAATATGCTGATTTATGAACTGAGGAAGAAGGACCTTCGGAAGAAAAGAAGGATTGGGTCGTAGAACCACCCCGGAGCCATCCGGTAACCAACGCAAGCACAGTTCACTAACAGACAACGCGTGCAACTCACTGACTCGTTTCGCAGTAGCAATAGCTAACAAAAAAGAAGTCTTCAAGGACAACCATTTAATGTCAACATTTTGCAAGGGCTCAAACTGGGGTGAGCACAGGAATGCAAGTACGAGTGACAAATCCCACACAGGAAAATGAGGATTCCGAGCAGGGTTCAGACGGCGTGCGGCCTTCAGAAAACTGCAGACAAGACGGTGAGAGCCAAGAGAAGAGCCACCAACTGGAACATGATATGCAGAAATTGCAGCAACGTACACTTTCAACGTGGAAGCTGCTTTTCCTTCCTCCAGTAAACGTTGAAGAAAACTTAAGACATGCGGAATGTCGCATGTTGCAGGATCGAGCCCCCGTTCCTCACACCATGCAGAAAAAAGCTTCCAACGGGAAGCATAAATCTGTCGTGTGGAAGAAGCCCTAGCATTAGAGATTGTGTGAATAACAGCAGGGTCACAATGCTCCAGGGAAGGATTTAACCCAATGGCCAGACCCAAAGCTGCAGACGAGCCGGGTCCGGGTGCCAGACACTGGCCTCCAACTGGGAGAGGAGGTCCTTCCTGGGGGGAAGCTTCCATGGATTGCCTGTCAGAAGTCTTAGCAACAAAGGAAACCACAGTCTGGCTGGCCATCGTGGTGCCACGAGTAACACTCTGTGCTTGCACAGGGAGATCCTGTGCAACGTCTCCCATAACAGAGGGGTAGGTGGAAACGCATAAAGCAGGCAGTTCGGCCATTCGTGAGACAGCGCATCCTGGCCCAGGGGGCTCGACACTTCTGTCCTTGCAAACCATAAGCGAAAGTGGGTGGTCATCTCTGAAGCAAAAAGATCCACCTCTGCTCTTCCAAATCATAGCCAGATCTCCTGCACTACATCTGGATGAAGCCTCCATTCTCCTGGATGTACTTGATCCCTGGAAAGAGCATCTGCTGTCTGGTTGCACACTCCTGGAATATGAGCTGCCCTCAGTGAAGCGAATCGTGGCTGACACCATGTCAGGATCTCGTGAGTCAACCATAGAGACCTGCGGGATCTCGTGCCGCCCTGGTGGTTCAGATGGAACACTGTTGAGGTATTGTCTGACCGAACAAGAACATGGCGGCCTGCCAGAACCGGCATGAAGTACTTTAGAGCCAAGAACACTGCCCTGAGTTCTAGCAGGTTGATATGTTCCGCCGCCTGGATCGGAGTCCAGCGCCCGGAAATACCCCTCCGATTCCACGTTGCCCCCCATCCTGTGAGGGAAGCGTCTGTCGTGACCAACTCCCGACGAGAGGGAACAACACCCAGGGGCACTCCTGCCTTCAGAAACTCTAACTGTCTCCACCGCCTCAACGCACATATGCAACGGTGAGAAATTATAACCAGTTGATGACGATGTCTGGTGGGATCTAGCCGCAAACTGTTGTTCCATAACTGGAGTGGTCTGAGATGGAGTAAACCCAGGGGGATCACAACTGTAGCCGCTGTTAACATCCCTATCAGTCGTAGGACCACCTCGTACTGCAAAGACACACCCGGACGAAAGCGAGCCAAAAGTTGTAGAATGTTTGTCACACGTTCCTGAGACAGGGAGGCAGACATTAGGCAGGAATTCAGGGTCATTCCTATGAACGTAGTGGTCTGTGATGGAATCAAACGGCTCTTTTTCTTGTTCACAGAAAACCCCAGCTTCTGCACATGTCTCAAGAGCAGTCTGGAGTCTTGTACGGCCTGCTGCTCTGTGGGGGCACAGAGAAGCCAGTCGTCCAAATAAGGAAGAATACGGATACCTCTCATCCAAAGAGGAGACAGAGCTGCGCTCACACACCTTGTGAAGACGCGAGGAGCAAGGGAAAGGCCGAAGGGTAGCACTTTGAACTGGTATGCTTGATTCAGGAAACTGAAACGTAGAAACTTTCTGTGATGTACAGCAATTGGGACGTGAAAGTATGCATCTTTCAGATCGACACTTACAAACCAATCGTCTGCTGTCACAGACCGGAGAACATCGGCTGTGCGCAGCATTCGAAAGGGAAGGACCTTCAGGAACAAATTCAGAAGCCTTAAATCGAGAATTGGGCGGAAACCACCGTCCTTCTTTGGAACAAGAAAATAAGTTGAATAGAACCCGTCTCTCTGAACGAGGGGATTAACTTTTTCTATGGCTCCCTTCTCTAACAGTGAACAGATTTCCAGAGAGAGAGCCACTGCGCGAACCGCGTCTCTGACAATCGTAGGAACAATTCTTGAAAATCTGGGAGGCCGGCGCCGAAACTGTAGAGTATATCCCCTGCTCAGAGTCGCCAACACCCAGGGGTCTGCTGTGTTGGATCTCCAGTACTCCAGTTGCTCTACAGAAAAACGATCGACCGCCGGCCTGACTGTCTCAGGCTTTACGTGTGCGATTTTTAGTGGTCGCGGGGGGACGCTGACGGGGCCCTCCCGGAAACTGTCGATGAGGTGGGCGAAAAACTCTCGCATCTTCAGGAACACGAGGTCTTTGAGGGGGCTGTGACTGAGGTGTAGCCTGCCGGCGGAAACGCTGCTCCGATGCGGCATAGTGATGTCGGGTCTGAACCGCTGGCATCCTAAAGGTAGGGTTGCGCTGCACCTGTGTCAGCTGACGAGTGGCTTCAGACAGCTTTACCCGCTTTTCCAACAGTTCCGGAATATTTGGACCAAAGATATGCCCGGGAACAAAAGGAAGATCTCTCAAGGTTTTCTTACAGTCCTCCGGCAGTCGTGCTTGGGCAAGCCACACTTGGCGGCGGGCTGCCAGAAGCGTGGCTGTAAGACTACCCAGCTCGCGGGTCACATGGCCTGTCGCCAACAGAGCAGTTTGCAGAAATTGTGAAATAGAGGGATCTGCATTTGCAGGTTCCAGCGTACTGGTGGCAGCAAGAAGTAACTGGCAGATCGTGTTTTCTGCTCGAGTAATGTAGGCAACAGACTCGTATGCCTTTTTTAGCAAGGAATCCGTACGACCGCATTGCGCACTGGGGCATCGCACATTCCCTCGTAGAGCCTCATCAGGAGAGACCACCAAAGCTGCCACAGGCTGCTCTATTTCCGGAGCACGACCCACCCCGATAGAATCTGCTTCAGCCATAGATGCTAGCGTTCGAGCAATCTTTGAGCGCCGCTTAGGTGGACCAGAACCAGTGAGAGCATTTGAGAATTCAGCCACAAAATCCTTACATGGTGGCATGGCAAAAGAAGTTGCAGCTGTGGTCTGTCTGAAAAACACATTAGTTTGTGCAGATTGGACAGGTGACTCATCAAGTCCTAGACGAGCAGCTGCCATTCGAAGCACAGCCAAAGTGTCATCGGAGGAGGACTGGGCTTGTCCAGACGACTGAACTGACCCCCCACTAGAGCCCTCTGCTGCTGGGTAACCAGTGAAAACAGCCTGAGGTGATGGTTGTGTAGCAACATCCATAGGATCCCCATGATCGTGAAAAAAGGAATCTGAAGCACTTGTAGAAAGCACATCAAACTCTGAACGATGAGAAAAACAAGGGGAATCAAGAGACTCTTCCCCAGCTCCCTGGTTTTGAACATTCTCATCCTCCTGTGTCATCCTCACAGGTGTAGCAGATGTGACCGGCTGAATTGAGTGAAGCAGGCGTTTCAGCTCTGCCATCTCCGAAGAAAGCACCGACACCGTCATAGAAAGTGAACCGCACCGACACCGTCATAGAAAGTGAACCTTTCTCAACATGTGAATGTTCATCATCCCGCGATTTGGCCTTCTTAGCTGGGAGGGGAGCACCAGCTGCCGCCGACGCCCTGCGCTTCCGAGTGCGCGAAGGGGCTACATCTAACTGCCCTAGTTTCACTGTAGAATTAGGGTCTAACTCGGCAAGACGGAGCCGTCGTTCCGACATAGGCAAAAGGCTGCAGTGCATGCACGGGTCCGTGAGAGCCTCTCGCAGATGTTGAACACCCAAACACGACGGGCAGATGTCATGACCGTCGTCAGGGAGAAGATTATTAGGGCACAGCTTACAAGTCAGTGGAAAACCAGTGGCTATCGAGCTGTGAGCCATAGTTACTCGCTAATAACACCCTCGGATAGTACCGTAAGGTTAAGTTAAGCGGGATGAAAAAATAATTAAAATAAAATAAAACGATTACCTCGGGTGAACCGACAGGTAATACCAACAAAAAATTTATGAAAAAAGATAAGAAGTGTCTAAAATGGCCGGCGGATTGAACCGAGGGACAAAAAGTGTTACATGGATACGAGGAAAAAACACTCTAAGTAACGTTAGATAACTTATGTCAACGGGAGACCGTTAACTCATAGCGCGGCAAACACAAGCCACCGGATTGCACCGAGAGGCACAGAGTGTTACCGACGAAGCAATATGAAAAAACAAAACTCACCAAGTGCCGTTAATTTAAATCCAAATCCTTGAAAAAATCCAAATCCTTGAAAGAGCGTAGACACGCGCTGTCACAGCTTGTGAGGACGAATCTCGCTGCTCTTGTAAACTGCACTTGACAGCGCGTCACTCAACCAATACAACCTATCTCAACTAGGCGAGAAAGCGAAAGAGGTAGAGTGCTGAGCTACTGTAGCTTTACCCTCCAGGGCTCAGCATACGTCACGCCACGTGACTTTGTTGGTATATTCTCTCGACCTATCTAGCTGGCGCTGCGATAATCCATAGTGTTTACACTGCCTCTGGCGGTCAGTAAGAATGAAACAGAACCAATAAAGCTAAGTGGTTTCTTAAAGGTGACCTATAATTCAAAATTGAATTTACCTTGGTATAGTCAAATAACAAGAGTTCAGTGCATGGACATGACATAGAGTGAATCTCAAACTGGACTGTTTTCGCGTTCTCATTTAATTCACGTTTATGAAAAACACCCCTGAAAAACGGTCGGTTCTCCACACAATACCGACTGTGACGCAATAGTCGGGATCATTAATATGTACGCTTCCAAATATTTGCATAATGCCAGCCCTCAATGCCAGGCGGAACTGCGCAGCCGAAGCATGGCAGTTGCTCAGTGTGGATGTACACATGAACACAAAAGTATTTTTTAGTTCCTTCATCTGAGCCTTTGAAGAAACAATGGGTTAATTTTATTTTCTCTGGAAATTTCCAAACATTTCACTGAGTGTTTCCTCAACTTGGGCCAATACAGAGCTGGCCTCGGATCGAGCTACCAAGCAACACTTTCTGATGTGTAATTGTTCAAGTTCAGACAGGTAATCTTTCTCTCAAAATCGTTCAATACTGTTTATGCATCAGTAAGTCAAGCCAGTGACTAAAATATCAGCTTCACATCGTTTCTTTTAGTAGGATGAAAAAAATCGTATTTAAAGTATGAACAAATTAAATATAGAAAGCGATCAAAGAACAATCTTTCCACACAGCGCGAGTTTATCTGGACACTTGCCAAACTCGTTATGAAATCAATGACGCACGTTACTGCACAACGAAGCTCTTACTGTATTTACATCATCGTGTTTGCATTGGTGAAAGCAGAGAGAGTGCAGAAACTGCTTTGCAATGATAAGATCTTCATTCTCGCGATCAACACACTGGCATCTGCTCAATGCTCACCACGGCAACCTTTTATGTGATGGGAATAGATCTAAATACTTTAAAAACATCTCACGATTCGTTAATCTCGATAGCTGTTATAGTAAAAACGTATAATAGCTGTAGTAAAAGTATTCGGGAGAGAGTTTCACATGTAATGCGTTTGCTATTTCATATGCAAGCATGTCAGCCAATCACAGCAGTGGCCGCGGTTACACTGAATCCCACAGCAGACACGCCCCTTCAAACAGAGTGTTCAAATCAGAGGCTAAAAGCAGGCTAGGAAAAATGCCATTTATTTCTAAATTATGATTATTTTTTATCTAAAAAACATACTAACATTATAAGGGTAACCCAGGAAACATTATAAAATAATAAAAAAAAACATTCTAGGGCACCTTTAAGTTTGATAATTAATCTGCTATGTCATGTTTATGACAGGTTGTGTTGTCTTAGTAATGTCAAGTTGTCATGACAAAGACACTGACAGGTTATGATGTATTGGTTTATGTCAAGGTGTCATAACAAAGACATCTCAAACAATGTCATATTTGCATTAAAAATGCAAAGACATTTAATGACAGTTGTCACAAACATGCATAAAACTTCCTTCATATTCATAACATATGTCATGTCATGATTATGAAGGTGTCATGTTAGTCTTATGCAGACCCCTTCAAGTAAAGTGTTACCATCACATTAGTTCATAATTATAGAGGTAATTATGAACTAATATATAAAGATGTACTGTACTTACATGCTATTTAAGTGGGGCAAAAAACCCTCTAAATTCAGCTAACTGCATTTGATATAAGTTTAAACTACAATACATTTTCATTGAATTGCAATTAACATTTGTTAATTAACTGTACGAAAACATTACATTCAGTTGACCCTAAAGAATATTCTTTTAAAGTATATCATTTTAAGCACTTCTTTTTTACATGGGTAAATACTACATCAATGTGGTGAAAATAGTCCTTATTTGTAGCAGTATACTAATACTAATAAAAATGATTAACACTGCTAGCACAAAGGTAACAGATAAATTAATAAGAATGGGTATGCAAAACATTTGCAGAATGAGAATAAGTAAGTGTAAAATATGAGTTCTTTCCGCATGATAGCATTTTTTTTTTTTACCAGCTGGTGACATCTCACCTGCAGGACAGAGTCTGCTACTGACAGCACCGCTCCAAGCAAAACCTCTTGAAACAAGTGCAATGGAGGAAAAACAGTAAGCTGATCATCTGCTCCAAATATAATCTCTGCTTGAAAGAGACAACACTGTTGCTCCCGTTCTCTCTGAAAGGTTTAAAAGAGAGAACATTTGTAAAGGAGAAAATTAATTCCTAGATTACATAAAAAACAGACGTTTCTTCCTCAAATCAAATCAAATTCAGAATTAAATCCTTGTCACATACTTTTAAAACATTGTTTAGGAATGCTGTGATCTCACGCTTTGAGATGGTGACAAGGTTTTGAATAGTCATGTGGTCAGCTAGAGCAGCAAGGTTTCCCAGCGACTGTATGTCCTGCTCTGCCTTACTGAGTTCTTTCTGTAGGGTTTTAAAGTATGTGAGCTGAAGGTATAGGGATGGACTGTTCTGGTAGAGCTTTGTGTGTTCCACTTCCATCTGGAGCTCCTGACGTGCTTGGTAATTCTTATCCTTCACCTGCAAGTAAATAATGATGTTAAGTGCATATTGTATATTTATTACATTAGACAGGTATAGTTCACCCAAAAATGAAAATTATGTATTTATTTACTCACCCTCATGTCGTTACAAACCCATCAGACTTTCGTTCATCTTTAGAACACAAATGAAGATATTTTTGATGAAATCTAAGAGATTTCTGTCCCTCCATTGACAGTCTACGCAACTACCGATTTGACGCTTAAAAAAGTTCATAAAGAGATAATCCAAGACTAATCCATATGAATCAGGCAGTTTAGTCTAAATTTATATTGATAAATGTTTACAAGTGAATAAAAGTTTAATTTAAATCATATAAAGCGATCATGTCTCTTCAGAAAATTTGGACTAAACCGCTCAGTTCAGATAGCTTACTTTTTTTTAATTTTTGAAGTGGTAGTTGCGTAAACTGTCAATGGAGGGATGAAAATCTCTCAGATTTCATTAAAAATATCCTTCATTTGTGTTACGAAGACAAAAGTGAGGTTTGGAATGACATGAGGATGAGCAATTAATGACAGAATTTTTATTTTTGGTTGAACTGAAATGAAATTTCAACTCTGTCATTCTGAACCTGTGTGACTTTCTTTCATTTGGATAAAGGCATGTTTACGCCAAGAACGATAACTATATTAGTGTCCACACCAATGCACGATATTGTTATATTTATTCTCAGCGTTTGCTGCAGTTATGTCGTCTTCTGTTTTAAATGCTCAAGCTCTTAAAAGCAGGATGGATTCTGACTGGCTGTCACTGTTTTTATCAATCATCAGCTGGGAAAAAATTGTTCTGAAAGTGATAAAGATATTGTTGTCATCTTTATAGTTGTGGTGTGGACGTGATTTTAAGAACTATATCTTTATCACTTTATCGTTATCGTTATAGTCCTTGACGTGAATGGGCCTTAACACAAATGGTTCTAAAGAATGTTCTATGACACATAACAATTTTGTTGTTCACAATTGTGAAAACAATTTTAAATCATTATTTAAAGTATATCTTACTTGACAGTTATGGGGGTTAAGGCTAGTTAAGTTAAGGTTTTGAATGGCATGAGGAAGAGTAAATTAGTGAAGTGTAACTGTTGTACCATACCACATCAAGTATTGCAGCACGACAATGTAGAAAACTATGTAAAGAGACTTGAGCTGTCTGATTCTTTTCCAGAAGTGCACTTTGGAAATCTAGGAGTGTGTAAGTCCTTAAATCATCTTGTGGCAGCCAATTGACTTGCTTTAGCTCTTCAATTAATCTAGGAGAAAAACAAAATGCGTATATTATAGCAACGCAAATCTTTAATTGATTTCAATTTCACTTTTAATATGTCTTGAGGGAAAAAAACCTGGAGATATGTAGTAAGGCATCCCTGAACTGGGGCACTGCTATCAGCAGCTGAGACGGAAGGAAGTCAATCCTGCGTTCGACAGTAACCTTGTGTGCATTTCTTTGCCATCTGAAAAAGTTGTCAAGTATACAGTTAGATAACTGCTTTTATAAAGGTCTGTATAATCAGACATTCCAAAGTTAACATAACATTAAAGGGTTAGTTCACCCAAAAATGAAACTTCTGTCATTAATTACTCACCCTCAAGTCATCCCAAACCCATAAGACTTTCGTTCATCTTTTTGATGAAATCTGAGACATTTCTGTCCCTCCATTGACAGCTACGCAACTACCACTTTGACACTTTAAAAAGTTCATAAAGAGATCGTAAGACAAATTCATATGAATTGAGCGTTTTAGTCCAATTGTTTTTAGAGACTCGATCGCTTTATATGATGAACAGATAAATGAGAGAGAAAAAGATGCGTTTTCAAATGAAGACGTATTAGTGTGGACAAGACATTAATTTAGGCTTTTATTCACATTTAAACTTTGATCAGTGAACATAAACAAAAGCTCAACCAAACCCGCTTGACACGCGAGAACAAACCTCAATGGTTCTTGAGGAAACTTAAACGTGCTGCGTAACACGAGAATGAACCTCATTGGTTCTCGCACGTCAAGCGAACATGCCTGAGCTTCCATAACTGATGTGTGAGTTGATGAAAGTTTATGTGAATAAAAAAAAAAAATTCATCATATAAAGCAGTTGTAATTCGTTTTACGATCACTCGATGAACTTTTTGAAGCGTCAAGGTGGTAGTTGTGTAGACTGCCAATGGAGGGACAGAAATCTCTCATATTTCATCAAAAAGATCTTCATTTGTGTTCCGAAGATGAACGAAAGTCTTACAGGTTTGAAACGACATGAGGGTGAGTAATTAATCACAGAATTTTCATTTTTGGGTGAACTATCCCTTTAAAGGGTTAGTTCACCCAAAAATGAAAATTCTGTCAGTAATTACTCACCCTCATGTTGTTCCAACCCCGTAAGGCTTTCGTTCATCTTCGGAACACAAATTAAGATATTGTTGATTAAATCTGAGAGCTGGATCACTCCTCCATAGGCTTCTTAAGGGATCGACACTGGCCGGCCCAAAAGTTATGAAAGACATCGTTGAAATAGTCCGAGTGACTACAGTGGCTCAATCTTAAGTTTATCAAGCGACGAGAATACTTTTTGTGCGCAAAAAAACAAACAAAAATAGCGACTTTATTCAACTAATCATTTCCTTCTCTGTGGACCGTGATATTTCACGTAGTGAAACTACGCAAAGCTTCTGTGTTGTACGTCACACGCATCACACACATGACCAGCGTCGGCCAATAGTGAGCCTACGTGTGACGTACAACCCAGAAGCTTTGCGCAATATCACTACGTGAAATATCACGGCCGTACAGAGAAGGAAATGATTAGTTGAATAAAGTCGTTATTTTTGTTTGTTTTTTGCACACAAAAAGTATTCTTGTCGCTTGATAAACTTAAGATTGAGCCACTGTAGTCACTTGAACTATTTTAACGATGCCTTTCATAACTTTTGGGCCGGCCAGTGTCGATCCGTTAAGAAGCCAATGGAGGAGTGATCCAGCACTCAGATTTAATCAAAAATATCTTAATTTGTGTTCCGAAGATGAACGAAAGTCTTTCGGGGTTGGAACAACACGAGGGTGAGTAATTACTGACAGAATTTTTATTTTTGGGTGAACTAACCCTTTAAGGCTAAAGTTAAGTCACCGTTTGAAGGTCTTGCGCAGTAAAAAATCTCGGATAAATGGGATGTCTCTCAAAGCTCCCCAAAGCACAGACTCTCGAAACCACTCTGCCAGGGTCCAGAGTTCAACGCAGAAGCCATCCTGCATATGTATTATAGTTGTGTGGGAGAAGGTGTGGTAATCTGCGCCCGCTGCACTGCGTGAGACCACTCGCAAGTCATATGGTCTGATAAAAAAGCCAAAATATATATATTTATATCAAAATAAAATATTCTACTGCAGAAAAATACATTTTAAATAAAAACATTTAAAATAAAATAATGACTGGCACCTGTAAGGACCATCTTCAGAAGCCTTCAAATAGTAAAATTCACGTTCCCCCAGATGCTTTTTCTTGGCTAATATCTCAACTACCTCAGTTCCAGTGAGTGGTTTGTATTTGGGTTTGCATACTTTCCCTGTTTTAGTGTTTTTCTTTGGGACACTTGGAAAAACATACAAACTAATTACAATCTTCAAAGCAAAACAGAGAATAAGTGAATCAATGGAATGATTCGGCAATAGTCAACTTACCTGAATTGTCCGACACTTGAGTGCTGAATTTCTTTGACAGGAGTCACAAAACGGGGTCCTTCGTTCCACACAGTCTCTTTGACTGCCAGTCCAATGTCCATCTGTGATACCAGCTGAGGTAGTTTAACAACAGACGGATCATTTTGCGCTGGAGACAAGGTCCTAAAACTGAGGGTGCGAAAAGGTGAGGGTTCTCGCTTAAATGCTGGTGTGGCAGAAAGAGATTGACGACTTAGCAGTCGGGGCTGAGAGGCTGCAGGTTCAAAACTGCAGTCTGATGAGCAGTCAGACCTGTTTCCTCTTTTGGTTTGGGTGACCGCAGGTCCTGCAAAGCCATTTCCTTGAGGTTCTCTCTTCGGTGATGACATTACTGATTGCACATTGAGCTTGTGAGGAAGTCTTCTTCAAGCCCATCTTCTGAAAAAAACCATCACTGTTTCATGTTGTCCTGGCAACATGAATCAAATAGCAGTAGCCTATCCAAATAATGAGCACAGATCAGTTTACACTGACCACTAATACTGCATTATTACAAATAAAATGTCCATGACTACAGTATAATTAGCCTAGTAACTTAGGCCCGAAGTAGCCTACTTTTTAGACAAAATTGAAATTTGTCTAAAAAAAATAAAATGGTGTAACGTTAGTTGTTTGGAACTCGAATCCTTACGAAATTTAACCATGCATGCTTTACTACAAAAAAACTAAAAACATGGTTAATATAGTTAAACCATGGTAACCACAAAGTAACCACGGTTTTGCTACACTAACCATAGTTTAACCATGGTATTTGTAGTAAAACTGTGGTAATACAAATGGTAATCAATCCGCCAACATGGTTAGCCTAACGTTACTGCACTTTTACTAATAATCAACCACGGTTCATTGCAGTCCACAGGAGTACATTACATTAACGTAAAAGCATGGTATAAGTAGCCTACATTACACTTGCGTTAATAGAAATAAATATAGGCTATTATTTGGTCATTTTCAAAGTTTAAAGAAGGCCTAACGTTACTTTAATTTATACTACCGAGGCAGTGAATGTTGCTTGGATACGAAGAACGAGAAACAATCGCAAAGTTTGTAACGTTAGACCAAAAGTTGGTTGGTCAGACACAAATATAACAACTCTGCTGTTTAGCCTGATTTGTGAATCATATCATTTAAATATAAATATATAGTGAAGTAAAATTGTCCTACCTGAGATCAAATCTCAGCGCATCGGTTAGTAAGCACTGCAGTAAGCACGTCTCGTTCCCATGGGAACAGCCCCAAACTCGCTACTCGGTCTATGGACGGTTACAATAAAATACTTATTTGGCAAATAAACTATATGTATCATACGGCAGGAAAACTAAAACTAACCTTCGGAAAAGCTCCATTTAAAGGGACCTTGGAGTCAATCTGTTAGAATGATAACGCGTGCTTATATGCTTTAACATTAGGATTGGCTAAATAAATAATATTAATACATATTATCTGTACAATGGTAGAGTCAAAAGGCTCACCGTAATGTAACTTAGCCTACTAGTTGCAGACAGTTATTATCCCTATGGGAAATATTCCTGGCTGCTTTTAGGGGTTTGGTGTTTGGTGAGAGACCGATTTACCAGGTATCCATCAAACAAGTGACATTATATAATGCATATTTATTTATTTATTTTAGCCTGTTTAGTCAATTTCACAAGGGATTTCTCTGTGAAGGCCTGTGGTGTCTGTTCCATTAAGCTTATTGACCGGTATTTTAGATGGATTAATAGATGGACTGTCCTTTATAGGCTACTGTGGCTTAAGCTTTCATTTTTACGCCGATCTATCTTGCAGAAAATGAACCTCTACAGAAATGTATGCAAACCACATTGTTTTATAAATGCAGTTGTGCATCCAAATGGACTGAATCCTTAAAATATAAACATTTAAATAAAAAATAAATTAACCTGAATTTGAATACCACAAGTCATTCTTTATGTGTTATTTGAGACCAATATTCTGATGGGCTATGAACATACAAATCAGTGGCATATGTAGGCCTAGCCCTAGTGTTCTGAAATGAGCAGGGAAAGTCCTCCGTTTTTTTAATAAATCAAATGTAAATTCATGTCCCAGTTAAACTTAATATAGTCACATTTTCCTGGTTAAATAAACATAACTTTACATTACATCAAAAAAAGAAAAAAAAAGAAACCAAATACAATTCTATTTTTTGTATTTTTCAATTTATTAGTAGGTTAAATCTCATAAAACATCACTCACAGACACGGAGATGTATCTTTAATTTCCCCAAGCTGTTTACCCGTCATCATGTTTTCAGGTCATTTCAAGTTTGATTTTGACGTGACAGCAGTAATATCTAAGTGGCTGAGTTGGTTACTTTTTTTTTAAATTCGTTTTCCCATAACGCCATCATTTTGTTCATTCAGACTGACACACGGGATGTATCATAAAACCCAATCATATCACAATGGAGGCATTGCCTCCTCTCATGTGACTTATATTAATTCTCAATTACCCCCCACTAAACCCTCCGCACGCTTTAGAGGGACTGTTAAAACTCAATGGGCTCAGGGGAAGCATGAGAGACGAGGCGTCCTGCTGTACCTTTACCTACTAGTGTTGCTGTTGGAAACGAGTGACTTATATTATATTACTTTTTAATGTAATATAATATTTGTATTGTTTTATTTTTATAAAATGGATTGGATTTATACAATGGCACTGCCTCCATTGTAAAATGCAATGATAAAAATGTATTTCACACATTCATCATCATGTAGATTTTTTTTTAATACCCAATAACTGTATTAATGTTTGAACACACTAAACAAAATTCCAAATAACAGTATAAAAAAAAAAAAAGACAGTAGATTTGTCAGAATTCAGTCATTTTCTTATGCGTGTCTGCTTTCTTTTGCTCTCTCTGGATGGACTGTTCCTGAGCCTTAAGCTGCTCCAGCAACTTGCGGGAAGCAGCGAGCTTCTCCTCCATTCGACTGACCAATGTAGCATCCCTGAGGACAGAGGGAAAGGAAAGACTTAAAGAAACTAAGAAAGAGACAGGGGCGGTTCTAGGGGCGGGGCCACAGGGCCCCTGGCCCCTGCTGAAATCTGATTGGCCCCTGATTGGCCCCCGTTCCATCAATCGTCGACAAGAAGAGCAACCGGATAATACCACACCAACCAACCGTCACAACATTATTTCTGTACAACGACATCAACCAGAGCTAACCGAACAAAATGGATGAAAAATAAATGTTTAGTATGAAACAAATTACAGGGATTAAAGTGGAAAAAAAAATTCAGGCCAAGTCATATTCAGCCGGCATTTCAACGTTGATTCACCGGTGAATCAACGTCAGGGACCAAGGTTGAATCAACGTTGGATTATGATTCGATTTTGCAAAACGATTTTGCTACCACATCTTTAAATTACTATTAGTAGCCTCTTATTTAAAGTTAACATTATAAAATACGTAGACCTACACCACAAAACTAGTTGAGGACGATAAATTAAAATTGGGCAATTTCAGCGTTATGGACGTGACATTTGTAGTCAAAACTTGAAATATAAATTCTCAAAATGCATTTAATACCAATATATTGAAACTTCTGTATATATATATATCCATACTCGCTTAATAAAGGAGTCCAGACATTAGAAAAATATAAGTCTACACATGCATTTTATATTTAATATGAGGGAAATACAGATGCGTTACGGACGTGACACAAAACATCTTTAACTTTTAGGTGGCAAAATATTGTTTTAGTTTACCTAATTCTGTGAATTCTGTGAAGAAGGGTTGGTTCTCCCCAGAACATAAAATATTCATTTTATTTTATTTTTCGTGTTCGCATTTATGAGGAAAAAACAATGTTACGGACGTGACAGTTCTGGAAGCTGCAGTCCGTAGCTTTTTGGGTTAAAAATTATCCAAAATACATATTTGAGAAAATACATAACCAGCCAGTGTTCGAAACTATCTGCTTGCCTTAGCTCGATTCAAAGCGGTAAGCTTGTAATAATGTTTTTAATTCCAGTGGTACTGGTGGATTTTCGCGGGAAATTCGAGCATGTCTTTGCGTCATTACGTCACATCTGTACACATAAAGAAGGAGTCTCGGCTAGTAGGCTATATTGCGTGTGAGGATGCTGGAGGTGGAGATTTATAGCCTTTTCTCACAGCACTTGATATAATTAAACTTATCAATTTGATGGCGGATCCAGAAAGGTTCAAACAACAATCACCAGTGACAACAGATTCACCCGTTGTAAAATGCAAAAGACTTCGTTCGGACTTCGGAGTGGCTACAGAAAAAAAGAGACTGCAACCGGACCCATGCGAAAACAAGGATACATATCGGAAGGACATTACATGTAGTCACGCAATGCTGACGTTGTTAACATTAACAATTTGAGAGCAAAGTATAATTTGCATGGTTTTGCGTGATATGATAACTTATAAGCGATTGTTAGATTTAATCAGCGCGATTTACTGCAATATCAGAATCAGAACAAAGGTGGATGTTTCTTACTAGTTCAGATGACATTTTCCGGTGAAAATTCTTATGTTGGTCATACTTCCAAAAAGAATAATCTGTGATTCTTAATGCCATTATCCACACCGGCGCGGCGACTAACAGCCTCACAGTCTCCTCAAACAAAGTGTTCATCCGCGCTGTGCGGCGGTGTCGAGGGTGTTGAAGTACAACTCACGTTAAGTTGATAATTACGCGAATAACTGCAATTGCAGATTTCGAACAGAGATGGCGACAAAGAGGAAAAACGCCGGACTGCAGCTTTAAAGAAATGAGTCCTCAAACAGTCATAAAATAGATTCATTTAATTGATTCATTTGGAAAACTCATTGAAATGGTCTACATTAAAAAATTAGTCATCAGAAAGTCTGATTCAGCCAATCCGTTTGTTCAGACAGATCATTTAAATAATTTAAATTCAGTTTAATGCTGCTGTTAATCACTATTTTCAACTCAATTATATAAATATGGTGATTTACAATTATTTAAATTAAACTAAATGATTTGTTCAATTGAAATGAGCAAAATAATTGTATGTCCAAAAGTCTCCAAACAGCTTCAAACTTCAAAAGAGCAGACGGTAGTTGAACTGCTTCCGCAACACCGATAAGGGTAATATTGAAAAAGAGGGGGTGATGAAAGGGAAAGAAAATGAGGAAAGCATACCTTCCATTTCGTTTTCTAAGAGACTTAGTGAGTTGCTGGATCTCCCTCTCCACTTGAGTGACTTTCTCGGTGGCCTGGAACAGACGAACATTCAGTGAACGTTTGACGCTCTTTCCGCCCCTGTAGGCCTCTGCGCCAGTGACGGATGAGCTTGATGAATGAGATGCAGGCTGAGATCCATCACCAAGCTTAGAGTTCAGGAAATCAAAAACATTGTGGCGTGTTGATGTGGAGGCCTTCCTCTTCCTCTGTTTAGCCTTCGGTTTACGCGAGGGCGGGTTATCCTTAGCGATAGCGGCTGCAGTCTTTCTCTGAGTGAGCTCAGCACATATGTCCAATGAGCGGCCCTTGGGAAGAACCACTGCCTGAACTGGCTCTACACGACCAGAGAGCGTTTTCCCCAAACCTATGCATACACGGAGACACTTTCTAGAAACGCATGCACAAGACAGAAACGTGTTCTGATGCTTTAGACTGAGGTCTGTTATGGTCACCTACCTTTACCAAGCTCATAACCCATTTTCAGCATAAGCTTGGAGCCAATGCCACGTGTGTGAGCCTCCCAACCGCAAAACTCTGCACCGTTAACCTGGGCCACATCCTCCTCTATTGATACTGTAATGAGATACAAAGTCAACTTGATTTTAACAATACCCTGTAAATGTATTGAATAACTCCAAATCTATGCATCTGTATTTGTGTGTGGGCAGTGAACCTGCACATATGCACTAATAACTGTTAAACTGCAGGTTGACATGTTAATGGGACATTTTGTTAATGTGAATAATGTAACATTCTATTTATTTTGTACTTTTATAACACAACTGCATGACCTTATTCTACATCTCTTAATCCTACCCCATATGTAAACTTAAGTCCCCCTGAGGTTAAATAAAAAAAGTTTTTAATGTTGTTTATAAGTCTATGTGGTGTTTTTAATATGCTATAAGACAAACCATGTGCAAATTCATAAGTTGACACCATTGCTGAGTATTTTCTCCTTAAAACTGCAGTGAACCAAAGACAGTTTCAAAAACGCGGTTTGAAGTCGCTGGTGTTTCTGACGTCACAAACTACCTTGTAACCAATCAGGTCAAAGAGTGATCGTCGACGAGTGGATCTCCGAGCTGGAGTGAGTGAGTGGAGGCGGGGCTAATTTTCATTTTCATAGAGCATGTATCTTACATTAGTAAAGTGTGTAGAGTTACATTCAAGCTATTGTAAGGCCTGAAAAAAAAAATCAAGGAAATTTTTTTTTAAATATGTAATTTTGGTGATCAAAGATGAGTTTTAATGAATAAAATTATTGACTACAGGGGAACTTTACCACCTTTCAAACTAATTATCAAAAATTAAGTGTTTATTGAGGGAAAAGTCATAGCTAATAGACCATTTTTTCCTATTGTACCAAACTCGTATCGAACTGCGAACTGTTGCGTTTTTGCCTATTTTTCACCTTTGTTGTCATTGGCTTTTGGCTAGCTTAGTTGGGGACATTAAATTTAACATTTAATATTCAACAATAATATTGATCGGCCTGCATTGACACCATTATATGAGAATTGAACTGAGCTGGACGTTGACATTACAGTTTTCTCCAGAGCGGCTATATATAAATGAACTAAATGTATAAGTTTTTTTACAACAAAATGAAACATCACTGAACTTACTTAAGCTGGACTGAGACGCAATTTTCTTCTGGAAACAAACTTTGTTGCATTATTTTCCTGTTATCTCTGTAAAGCTGCTTTGAAACAATCTGTATTGTTAAAAGCGCTATATAAATAAATGTGACTTGACCCCAAAACCGAGGTACGTACCGAACCGTACTGTGTACCGTTACACCCCAAATAAACACTTTCATTTAAATATACATTTTTCACATTACAGCATGTATTGCTATATATATATATATAAATAATGGGAATTGAGGGGAATATGCTTATTTGTTATGAAAATTATGTCACAGTCAAAAACAGCTTAATGGTTTTAAAAATATTCTTAGTTTTTGTTGTTGCTTTTAAGCAAAATATAATTTATTTTGTTTTTGAAGAGAAATAAGAAAACCTGGACAGTTCTTTCAAGAGATTCACACAGATATGTTTTCCTCAGACTGTGTGCATTACAGTATATAATGCACATCCCAGGGAATGGTGTAATTACGCTTTAGCACCTTTAGCATAGCCGGCATCACACTGGTCAGTATCATCCTCAGAGTCCGATGAGGAAGAAGAGGAATAATCGTCCTGACGAAGAGGAGGAATGATCCCATCAGCCTCCAGCACAGCCTCTTTCAACAGCAGCGAGTTAAATTTCACTGTGTAAAAACCACCTTCAATCTCTGGAAACAGAGAAGCACAATGTCTCATAAACGCTTGTAATGTCTTGCACTGTTTTACCAGATCTAGTGAATGTACTGTTGCGTTTTTGTACAGTCTATGTTTGAAGCTGCAATTTTCCATTAAATTTCCCCTTGGGGATCAATAAAGATTCTCTCTCGGCCGTGTAAATTGTGGGGAAGGTAACAAACAAATTATATCATGTAGCAATATCTGTTCTTTTTCCTTTTTTTTTTTTTTGTTGGTGGATTTGTACCTGATATTCTGGCTGGATACCAGATGCCATCTTCATGCTTGGCCAAACACGCAGAGCCCGACTCCATATTACTGATGTCAGCCTCCAGGAAGTCTCTGAGCTCTGATACACACACCACCTCACCATGAGAGAACCTGATAAACACACACTCTGGTCGTGACGGTGTCAAGATCAATACATTTCTTAAAATATCAGTTAACTTTTTATGAAAATGAAACTTTTTATAATTAGTGCATGCTATAAATGCATGCTATTTATATATAAAACATATTTTTATCTTGGAAATATAATTGTTATTTAAAACATTTGTATTTATTTAGGTAATCATTAAATGCATAATATTCATAAAACTACATTGAAAATAAATTTAAAAATGAAAATTATGAAAATATACGTTTTAGGTAATTATTAAATATATTATTTATTTACAAAAACGTTTACCTTGAATATATATATATATATTTTTTAATAAAAATAAATGTTAAAAGTATTAACATTTATGTAGGTTAATATGGTATTATTTAATATGATATTTTACTTTGAAAATATAATTAAAAATTTGTGTGAAGTGAACTCACATGTATTAAATGTGTAAGGAAAACGCTTAACAACGCTTTTTTTTTATATATATATATATATATATATATATAAAATGTGGACATTTTTATATCTGCCAGTAAAAAAAAATCAAAGCTGACTCCACACATTGTACACCAAGCTTACATTAAACATGAAAAAAAATGCAGCACCAGGCATAAAATGCAGCACCTGCAGTTGTCCATGAAACGGCACTTTCCTTCAAGGTAGAAGCCGCAGGGTTTCATAGATTTGTGTGTGGGATGAAGGTAAAACACCCGGACTCGAGCCTCTTCTTCTTCTTCTTCTTCTTCTGGCTCTTCATGGCAAACCACCATGGCGTTATGGTACTCTAGGGTTCCCCATGAGGTACGGTAAGGCGCACATACCTTAGTTCCACTTATATCCTCCTCTTCATGTTCAGGTTCAGGTTCAGGTTCAGTGTTTTGTTTTACCTCAGCAAAGTTCTTTGACAGTTCCGCATTGAAAGCTGCAAACTCATCATCCAAAGCCGTCTCCTGAGTAAGCGATGTGGGATTTTGGTAAGTCGAGGGCTCCTCCAAAGAGGCCAGCAATTGGCTTTTTCTGACAGACAGCAGGCTGGATTCAGTGAGCTCAATGAGCTGCTGCAGGTCCTCCTTTAGCTTCAGCAGGTCAGCCTGCTCCGCTGAGCCCAAACCAGCAGATAAAGCCACCTCCACCTGCTGAAGCTGAGCGCTGTAGGTCTTGATGGCTTCTTCTAGACTGCTTTCATCCATGGTGAGGATCAGGCTCTTACATGACAGGAGCTCACTGTGGCAACACTGCAGGAATAGAGCATGCCAAGAAAGGGATCGTGCAAACGTCACATTATTAAAAACAGTCTACTTTTTACGCATTTCAAAATCAGCTCCTAATTAAAAAAATATATTGTGTTCGTGTGTTATTAATTTATGGGATTTCTCATGAGTGTGGTGTGGAGAAAATAGAATAATGCCGGTTAGCTTTAAAGCTATGTTAGACAGCCTAATAGTTAGCACTCTCTAGCTAGTTTCATTTCTATTCAAATACATTACTTTACGTTTGTACCTGTTACAATGGTTAAAAATCACAGACTTACATTTTAAATCTTCTGTTGATCGTGTTCATGGCATTGTTTTGTTTCTGTTTAGACAGAGACGGTGAAAATATCTTCCACTGTGAGTCACTCAACTTTGACCTCACCTACGTCATCAGTCAGCGCTACCTACATCGAGCTTATTTACGTTTTTTTTAATTAAGGACTTAAAATTATACATAAACCAGCTAAAACTAAGCTGCTGTGTTTTTTAAATGCACTGAAACTCATGTATTCTTTTTTTCTTTCTGGTGGCTTATGTTGTTAAAGATATGACTGTGCACTGTAATGCCTTGTTCTTGTGGCACGATCTTAAAAATAAAATAAAATAAGCACTTAACTTTCCATTCAGTATTTTTTATTGAATTGCTCTATAAACGTACATTACTTACTGTTCTCAATAAAAAGTTCCAATAAATTTTTTTTCTTTACAAAATATTACTCATTCCCAGACACTCCCGAGTCCCTTTTATTATTTTGAGTGTATCATATTTAAAGTAATTAAAACACACACGAAAAACAGGATGGTCAGGAAGCCATTTTATTTGTCCTTAATTCATACCGTTTGTATGTATTCATGTATTTATTGTATACATTTATTGCTTGCTTTTTGTAAAACTGTATATCCAATCAATTTTAACTTCTAAAATGTTTAAATATTTTTATTAAAAAAAAAATTGCACATTATTAATATTATCTTAACATTGTACTTTGCATTATATTTTCCTGGCAATAAAAAAAAATGTAATGAATCATTCATCCCAACTCTATACTGTACATTTTCCCTATGTGCTGTGTTCATATAAACGCATTCAGGAAAATATATTTTCTCGGGCGAATATATTTTAATCATTAAGATTAAAACAATAGTGCTACTTCATGGTACAGAGAAGATGTCAGAAGACTGAAATCACTCAAACTATTTTTCATTTAAAAATGAATTAACATTTATTAAAAGAACTTGTAAAACACAATTTAAAAGAAGTATAAAACCCATATATTTATTTTTAATACGTAACGTAATGAATTTAATGAAAAATGCATACATGTCAGTTTCATTTAATTCATTTATTTTTTAAATCAGTAAATTTAACATTCTCCTGCATAAATCTCTTCATGCATGATATATGTAAAACATACAAAGATATTGATTCAATATCTCAAAGTTCTAGCAGCATTCACGAAAAGAAGGATGATATCTTGCTTTGAGTCTTTCCTGCAGACAACTGAGATGCTGTAAAGAAAATAAAAAATATTAAGAATAATTAGAAAACACTTATCTACTATCCCTGTTGCAGAATACAATATTTACATACTCTAATTAAAACACAATACCTTGATTTGGTGGACTTGATCCCATGTCTGAATCCTGGTTTGCTACAGAATCATTTCCAGTCAAGGCTTTTAACAGCTCACCGAACTGCTTCCTGTGCTGTGGTCGAATGAGCACAGATAAACCTAGACCAAACCGAACAAGTTCAGCCTCTTTCCCAACAGATATTGTTGATAGATTTTGATCAAGCAAAATGTTTATGATGAACCTAAAAGAAATTGACTAACGTTCTAGTAGAGCGATGTCCTCATCCCTCTCAGTCAATAAACTCACAACAGTTGACACCATGTGTTCATAATCGTTTGACGTCTTATACGCCTGCAAGGCTAAAAACATCTGACGGGTTTTTTCTGCACCGATGGCCTGTTTGATGTCTGACAGCAGAGAGGAGCACGATGGACCTTCTTTAATGGATGTTTGTGGCTTCTGGTCTTCACTACTTACATTCACTGTTAAAAATTACACAAACTTTATCAGTTCTAAATGTACAAATGTTTGCCTTTAAAAGTGAGGAGCAGGCCTTTTTAATACAGTTACTATCAATAAGCTCCAATATACCTCCAATTTGACCATCCCCTCCATTAAGTGCTACGGTTCCCAAGTGAGGACCACCTTGGTTCAGCTGTTGACTCGAGTTCAGCTGCTCGTTGGGTGGATTTACAGGCGCCATCTCGGCTTTTGCTAGAAAAATAACAAAACGTTGTTATTTATGATTACGGGGAGATAAAATAAGGCCCACTGTAACTGCTACACACTATTTACTAGTTAAAGGTTACCTGTGTTCTGCCCAAGAGCCTTTTGCTCCTCCCTGGACAAAGAATGCTCTTGTTTATAGCCACAACCTTCACCTGTTAACTCCAAGCAACGCTCATCGAAATCTTTCTTATGGTGTGGTCGGATGAACTGATAAAGACCTTAAGAAAAAGATCAGGGGAAGATCAGTTAAGATCAGAGGAAAAAAGTTTTGTTTTAAAATAATTGATAATGACACAAGTCATTCTGGATAGACAAATAATCAACAGATATTTAGAAAGCTGATACTTGAGAGTTAAGAGAATTACTCAGACTGTTATTAATATGGAAATATATAAGCTCAACCATAAAAACAAAAACAAAAATGTATAAAAATATTATATAAATGTGGTATAACAACTTACAACCACAATTAAATTGAAGCCACAAGTGTGGTTATACCTCTAAAACTGCATTTTATGAATTAATACGACCATGTTATGTGCTTTAAGAGAAGGCTAATAAAAATGCTAATGACATTATTTATTGCCCCTATAACTCCCCTGCACTCTAATGTCTGGACTGGAGAACTGCCCATTCACGACTCTATTGTCCTTTCTCGACGAATGTTAGCACCTCTGCCGGTATGAGACTTCATTATTCTTTTGTTTTTATTCAGCCATTATTAGCCTTTATTCTAACATTACATGTCTTGCCCATCGACACCACTTTCATCCCAGATCTGAAGTCTTTCTAAAAAAACAAAAACAAAAAACCTTATTCTTGGGACCTTATGTGAATTTTTGTAACGAAATAGATGGTGAAACCTCCTGGCGCAACAGATGCATTAGAGCTACAATTAGCATCAGGCTACATAACACAATTTAAAAGATTAATATTATCCAATAATATTATAAAACCACCAATGAGTGTTTGTAATAACTTCTGATTGTAATCTAATATGAATTTTGGTTATAATGTTGTTGAAATAAGTTATATTTACTTAGCATTTTATATGGAGCTAAGCGCTACACCTGCTTAGCATGTTCACTGTAAACATTAATTTTTCATATGAATATACTGCAAAATCGCATGCTAATCACACAAAAACCATATACTAACGTAATCGTGTGTTTATTCTCTTCGTTTTTTTTGACGTGTAGAATTATTATTTTTTTGGCTTTGTTTTTCAGAGCTCAGAACGAGGAAGTGCACAGGACAGTGTCATCCTACGTGAAATTATGGTCACGTTGACTCACATAAGATGATTGACAGCTCGACGCCGAATGAGAGAGCGTTGAGATCATAGCTAATGTAAACCAGGAACAGGACAGACAAAGCGTGCTCTGAACGCTCTTTCAACTCTTCAGATTGCATTATTCAGTGAGAAATAAATTGAAATGGTATTCTGTATGGCAAAATATTTTGTGGCAAAAGGCTGCAAAGAATCATAAATACGGAGAGAATGCGCATCATAAAATCCCTTACAACATAAAAATCCTTACACTAACTGTTCTGTTAATAACCCTCTGTCGATCCAACTGTCTGTTGCAGGGATACAAAAATGCGGAAGTATAATCTGTAGTTTTCACGTAAACCCAGCAGCTGTCAAAAGACTTTTGCTGACAAACAAACATGATTTTCTCAGCCTAAGTAACACAGAGAACAAGTAAACATTGTTCAATTATATATACTACCGACAATCCAAAGCTGGTTGGAAATCGGCCAAGTTTAACTTTAAAAAAGCAGTGAAAACATAACTCGCATTACTCATGGGATGGATATGCTGAGATTCCGCACCTCTGAGCAGTCTGTGTGTGTTGTGGTCTTGTATGAGGGGCTCAACCACATTAGCCAGAAGGTTACTCAGGTCATCGGTTGTCTTGTACGCCTGTAACGCCTCCATGATGAGCTTGAAGTTCTCATGACTCAGGCATCGTCTCAGCTCTATCATGAAAGCTTTGCCTGTTTTTGCAGTACAGGAAGCCGTTGTTTTCTGGAACGTAGCCAGCAGAAAACAGAATACGTTTACTTTAATCAAAATGATCAAAGGAAAAGCATGGCATGTTCATTTTAATGTCCAATTCCATTTATTTTGGTAATCTACTAAATTTGATGGCAAAGTGTAATATATGCATGATGCATCACCAAATATTGAACTGCAAAAATAGTGCCAGGTTGAGGAAACCTAAAAACAGCACTACAACTAAAAAGTTTGGGTCTTTAAGATTTTGTTTCTTTTTTTTAAAGAAATGAATACTTCTAATAAGCAAGGACACATTAATTTGATCAAAAGTGACAGTAAATACATTTATAATGATAGAAAACATTTCTATTTCAAATAAATGCTGATCATTTTATTGATCAAAGAATCAAATGCATCTCAGTTTCCACAAAAATATTAAGCAGCACAACTGTTTTCAACATAGATGAAGAAATTCATAGATAGATAGATAGATACATACCGTAGATAGATAGATAGATAGATAGATAGATAGATAGATAGATAGATAGATAGATAGATAGATAGATAGATAGATAGATAGATAGATAGATAGATAGATAGATAGATAGATAGATAGATAGATAGATAGATAGATAGATAGATAGATAGATAGATAGATAGATAGATAGATAGATAGGATATTGTAAAGGAATGTGAATTTTCTATTTGAATCTCACAATCTCCAATGGAGCTCACAAAATATCAATCAAGATGCCTCACCCGCTCTTGAACCACTTTAATTTTCCGTTTCCCACCCCTCGATTCATCATCCAGACGTTTGTCATGCTGGAGGGAAAGAGTAGACAAGCGACTCGCCTGCAGGGTCACAGACCAATGAGAGAAAGGGAAAATTAGCAAAAAGATTTGCTCACATAGTTATGTTACGGCATATGACATTTTTTACAGACCTGCACAATGAGCTAATCTGATGAAAGTAGAAAGATTTGAGAAACAGATAAAAAGGGATCAAAAGTGTCATTCAAAACCCTGATCATGATTTAGGAGGCAATTCTTCACCATTCATATCTCATTTAGTCCGCAAAAACTCATTTTCTAGGTT